TGCCAGCTCCTTTCAGTGTTGGGCTTTTGCAGTCTGTAGGAGCACTGACTCCTCTGCACCAAGGCCCAGCTGCACGTATCTGTTTGTGCCTTCAGAGGCTGCTTTCTCAATCTCATGATCTTTCTGAAGAGAGATGCCATTTCTTCCTCACCTCGTGGGATGCCATTTCTTCCTCACCTTGTGGGAGACATCGCTTTCCCTGCCTTTCTAGGTTTCCCTGGTACCACCTCTGCTCCTTGGCCTGCTTCCTCTCTCAGCATGGCCTTCGTACTTCATTGTTACATGGGGACATGAAATTAAAAGGTTTTCTCCCTAAATAACCAGTCCCAGGCTCTGTAAAAGCTGGCAGTCGGACAGGGTGGTGGTGCTACCTACTAGGCCGTGCATTACAGCTTGGGTTAGCGGCCTGCCTCACCTCTGGGGCCAGGAGGCCTCCCTCTGCTGTCCTCTCTCCATCTCCTCCAGGGAGAAACCAAGGAGATGTGTGATTCACACCAGTGGGGAGGACAGATATCCTGCACGTTCTCGACTGACCCTATCGGAAAGGTTAGCAGGAGAGGAAAAGCTCTTGCAACAACTGGAGAAAATATGACTGCTCGAAACAGAGAAAATGTTTCGAGCCAACACACGGCAATAACCCTGTCCCGAGTTAGCAATGGGCAGCAGGCTCGGAGCCCAGCTGAGAGCCTTTCCAGACAGCATGGCTCAAACCTACTGGGATTTTAAGGTCTCCGTGGCCTGCGTCCAACTCTGAAGTCCAGCTCTGCCAATGCTGTGAGTCAAGGAAGCCCGTGACTCCAGTGCAGTAGAGCTGTTGTTTTCTGTACCAAGCCTTCTTTTTTTTTGTTAAAAGCCTCCTTGAAGAGCACGCAGAAGGCCTAAATCAAGTGTTTGGGTTTCAGCGGGGTGAAAAATATAGCTGTGCCTTCTACTGGCAGCATTCCCTGCAGGCACTCAGACCTCCTTCAAGGTAAATTCAAACACCGTGTCGGGAGCGATTTGCTTGTGCCAAGAAAACTACAGAGTCTGCATTTGTTCCTTACCTCAAAACAGTATGGAAAGTAAAAGTGAAAGTGAATCGAGGCCCAGACATCTGGAGAAAGAGCTGCATTACAAAATTTCGCTGCAGTGACTGGCCGTTTGTGATGGTAACGCTCTCAGAAACGCGGTTTGATTTTTGAGTGGTCTCATGTGGAGCCAGGAGCTAGACTCAGTGATTTTTGTGGGTCCCTTCCAACTCAGGATATTGTATGATTCTGTGATCTTAGACGGTGTCCTTAACCTATCCTGGAAGAAACTTGGACAGAACTTTATAGCTGCCTTTAGGGGCGTTTCCCGTGGGCCTTCTGATTGGTGTTGCCTACGCTTTAGTAAATTATTTCCACAGGAACGAGGTATGGCTTGGCTGAACGACAGGGTTATTTTGCACTTTTATGGCCAATCTGGCTGGGAGCTGCTGGCCGGCTTCTGGTCAGGGCGTAGCACGCATTTGTCTCCTCCTTTCCTCAGGGGAATATGTGGGGCAGGGCTGCTTGCTGTGTGGGTGAGAAATGCGCATCCTGCCTCAATCTGAGGTTCCTCCCCCGTTTTTGGCAGGGGATTAAGCTCTCACCAGTTCCTTGCTCTCCTCTAATGCGGAGCACTATGGTGGAGCAGGATGACCATGGTGGTCCAGGGGGATCCTGCTGTTAGGTCCTCAGATCCGTGAGGGCACACGATACAAATGGAAAAGGTCCCATCATCCCCATTCAGTGTTGCTGGGACATCATCACCTGCATTTCTGGCCTTTGGGCTCTCCTCCATCCTTCTCCAGATCCTCCAGCTGGCTGCTTTCCTGGTGGTTGTGTACTGGAAGTAGCAGGAGGGGCAAGCAAAGCCACTGACAAGGAAGAGGATTGGGTTTATCTGCCTTTCCCTGTCAGCCTTCTCTCCCAGGCTGCCCTTCCTGACACTCTGCATGGCTTTCAGGCCCTCCCAGATCACTGGCCTGTCTCTTCCCATCTCCTTTCGATAAAGGGAGATGTGTTTAGCTGGGCCCTTGGGTGTCTGCCCTGTGTCAGCATCTCACCTCAGCAGTGAGCATTTGAGGTGATGTTTGGTGGTCTCACGCCCATCCCTGCTTTCACTCTGATGAGGGGATTTGGTTTGCACGTGCAGCTGGGGCTCTCGCAGCTCTCTGCCCCCTGGTCTGAGAGGCCTGGTGCTCATGGGGAGGGAGCTTCTCTGGGAACTGGCCTGGTAGATGGTTCCCATGCTCGCAGTTTGGCTTTCCCAGGGGGCTACCCCATGGGGAGTGAGAGGCTGGCCTCAAGAGCTATTCTCGTTGAGGTTGGTGTCCAGGAGGCACAGCAGGCTCTGTAGGCTGATGGATTTGGTCTTGAAAGCAGCCTGGCCACTGCTCTCGTTTAACTGTGGCAGGCTCTGCTCTTCTGCACTCCCAACACCTCCTTGAGGAGGTGAAACTCGAGCAGCGTCTTCCTCCCGTTCCTGCTCATAAAGAAACCTGGGAAGGATTTTTTTTTTGGGTAAATGCTATGGAATAATTTTATTTCCCAGTAAAACAGTGAAATAAAGAGATCTGCTTCCGTTGCTGTGAACTAGAAGCCAGCTGTGGTTTATAGAAAATGCTGCTGAGTAGGAACACGGCATTGTCTCTGCCTGGTGCTGGCAGGAGAGGGAGACGCTCAGGCTCCATGGAGGAATGGTTTGTGCTCAGTATGGTATCACCGGAGGTCAGCGAGGTGGTAGCAGAGCGGATCCCTCAGAAAGATGACCTGTGGGCTGTATGCCACAGGGCTGTACGTAAATAAGGGCTGTATAAAGGGGAGTTTTGGCAAGCAGAGACCCCATTGTAGCTCAAGCAATAACTTTCCATGATTTTTAGCCTGGCATGAAATAACAACCCAAATTGCCTTGCAAAAAAACCCTAGGAGGGTGGCCAGAAAACAAAGCAAGGAAAATTCTCGAGGTGCTACAAATAAATGCAGTATATTCAGGGGAAAAATATCTGCGTTGGCAGTCCCGAGGATGGAGGGACTTCCATGGCACCGAGCAGCTGCAGGGGCTGGGCAGGCACATTCCCAGCATAATGTATGTGATCACCAGGGATAGGATTCACATGTCCCAGCGGCAAGCACAGCTTGCTGTCTGATGGATTTACAGCCCGCTTTGGCTGGACACGGAGCCTCTGTGTGCTCCTGTAGCACCCTCAGCACTGCCGCATGAGAGCTGCCAATGGGTTGTTTTGGGTAGCAATGGCCCAGAGAGACCTAGAGGCTATTTTAGGCTGTTTCTAGGTATGGCAGCTCAGCTGAGGGAGGACTACGGGTGATGCCTGCCTATCGTGGCATCCTTCAGAGTGGTGGGGATGGGCACAGCGCAGAGTGAATGTCGTCGGTAAATGGGAGAAGCACTCCTGGGGTGTTTCCCAAGAACATCATCAAGCACCACGATATTCAGCGTAAAGGTCGAGTAGCTGCAGGTCCCCACTCAGGCACATACCAGAGGCTGGCCTCACCGACAGGCCCTGTGACACGTCCTCGGTGTGGCCTGCAGGTTACGTCTCGCCTGTTATTAATAGCCCCGTCTTGATGGCTCTCCACGATACTCTTGCAAACAATTATTTTTTTTTCTTTTGTTTCCTTCTTCTTTGAGCCAATTGTCAGGCAAGAAGCCAGGCCCTTGCGCAGTGTAGCCGTCACGTTTCTCACGTCACAGCATGGCTTGCTGCTCAGCCTGCGCCATCAGCAGGAGCAACCGGGCTGCCCAGGTACCACGTGGACGTGAGAAATCTCAGGAGAAATTTGGGGCACGGATCAGCCCCTGAGAGAACTGAGGGTGGTGTGATGGGTTCCTCTGCCAGCAGTGGGTTTCCAGAGGGAAAGTGAGGCAGCGGAGGGCAATGGGGCCCTTGAAATGTCTTGTCTTTCTCAGCCCCACAAATTAGTCTCCACCTTAGTGTCCTCTCAGCATTCAATTCCTTTTCCAGCGTGTGCATTTTCAGTGCCAAACCGTATCAAAAAAAAAAAAAAAAAAAAAAAACCAACAGCAAATGCACACCCTTTCTGCCTCCCTTTCCAAAAGGCAGGGAGCAGTGGCCTTCACTCCCATGTCCATCTTTTCATGGAAGGGTGGTAATCCACGTGCTAAGCGTGTCGGCTTGGAAGTGTAAATAATGCTCAGGTGGGGGCTGGGGGGAAATTATAGAATCTAGGTCAGACAAAGGCAACTGAACTTGCCCTTGAAAGCAGGCGATTATTTCCAGGCTCCCCGTGATAAGGCGCTGGGTGGAACGCTGTTAATAATTCACAGCGTGGGCATTTAATAGTGGGGTCAGGTTACCTTGGAAAGTCAGGTGCTGCTGGCTTTCTGTCCCTGCGCTGGTGGACTTTGACTCCAGCGCAAACCGTGCAGCGCCTCGGCAGGTGCTGCGGGCCAGAAAGGGTTGTGGCTGGATCTTCTTTCTGCCGGGTGGGTTTGCTGAAATCCCGTGGTCGTTTTGGGAGAGAGGGAGCCTGTCTTAACTAGTTGGAAATGTTACCGTCCTGCAGCTTAGGTACTTCTGCCGGCATTGCCATGCCTGGTTTATTACAATGTGCTGTGGACAACACATAAGACCTTCAAGGGAGTTGGGTACCAAAAGGTGTCTGTGGGTCAAAAATCAACTGCATATTGAAAGTCAGCGGGGAGACCAGACTCATGCTGCTTAGTTTAGAGAAGGTCTTCCTGCTGTACGTGCAGGTGGAGATCTGGTTCTCCAATCTTTGCTAATCAGTGCGAGGTGGGTCAGGACCTGTGCTGGGCTCTGAGGCTCAAGCTCGTCATTTCTTTTTCACCTCTTGCTTGTACAACCCAACTTTCCAGCTACAGCCATGCTGTGTGCTGCCGATGATCCCCTGTTTGCTGCATCTCCAGGTACTGTGGTTCGCGTGAGCACACCTGATAGGTAATTAGAAAATCACCCAGAATAAAGCACCTGCTCCCTCTGCTAGACTGGTTCTCCTTGGGTCCCGAGGAGTGACAACCAGCAAAGCCATGTGAGAGCCACCGAGCTCCGAAGATCTGCCTTGGATCTCACACAGGGAGCAAATGTCATGTGTAAGCACGTGTCATTTCACAAAGCCATTTCTCAGCGCAGAGCTTTAACTTTACACTGCTTTAACTTTCAACCAGCAGAAAAGCGATCTGGGGGTAGGGAAGGGGAAGGGAAGCAAAGGGGAGGCTATGGAATAAAAGTAAAATTGCTTCTCGAAATTCACGTTGCTCTGAAGCACAAGCAGCAGGATAATATATGTGCTGACACTGCAGAAAGCAGTGTGATTAATTTATATAGTGTGAGGCTAGGGTTTGTATCGCTGCCTGAAGTTACTGGAAAGAGGCAGGCACTCAGGAAATCTGCTTCAGATAATACATCAGTGTGAGATCAGTGATTCTGATGAAAACGGAGGGAGTCAAAAATAGTTCTTCCTCAAAATGTTTTGTCTTCAGTGAGCTTCTGACCTCACAGAGAGCCCCTCTCAAAAAATATGCTTTAACTTCAGTCGGTTTGGACTTGTGTTCCCAACCAGGTGACAAGCACACTTCCTCGGATACCCTCCTTCAGCACAGGGGAGGCCAAAAGCAGCGAGGCCCCCGGCTCCACCTTGCCACGAGCAGTGCCGATACGTGAGCACCTGGCTTTTGTGCTGCGGGTCTTTCCCTTGGCTCTTCCTCTCCTGTTTTCACGGAGATGATGCTGAGTTTGTTTTTCAGCACGGCGAAGGAGGAGTAATAATTTCCGTGTGGGCCACCCTGCCAAGAGGACGTGCTTCGTGCCGGCTTACTGCGCTCATCTCTTCTGGGACGGCTCCAGGCTGGCTGAGCAGAATATGCTAAGAAAGCGATTCCAAGAAAATCACAGTCATCGTCAGAGGAAGGTGCCCATGAAACTACGTCCTGGCATCTTATCTGGAGCAAGGAGGCTCGCGTGGCAGGCTGGCAATGCAGTGCTAAGAAGAGAACTGCAGCCTGGCCAAGCCCGCAGCCCAAGGGAGCCGGGGCAGCCAAACAATGCAGCTTTTTCTTGCTCCGTGGTGTGGGTCTTGTGGCACCAAGCTGGGGAGAGCTCTGCAAGCCACAATGGAGAAAATAACAGGAACTGCCCCAAGTCTGCTGAATAGGGAAATGCCATCCCAATCATTCAGAAAAGAATTTAAAAAGAAAAAAAAAAAAAAGAATGAGATGAGAAATTGGAAGTGCTTTCAAAGCAGCACAGTGCCAAAGGAAGGCAGCCCAGAAAGGTCCCAGAGATCTAATTATAGTCTGCAATCAATGCTGCTCTTATCCGTGCTGCTAATGAACATACATGAGGCAAGCAGTTTTGCAGCTCCAGGGTTTCTTGCAGTCGAAATAACAGCTCGGTAATAACTAGCCGTCTTGCTTGATTAGGGCTCGCTCTGCCTTCTCCCAGCTTCCCAGCCTTTGGTGCGTGCCCTCAGGGAGAAGTGGGAGCTGTAGCCAGGGCTGTTCAGGATGGGGTAAGCAGCCAAAGCTCCGGCACAAATGCATTAATGGCACACAGAGAGACAGGCAACGAGGGACAGGCCTCCCAAGGGCTGGAAAATGCTAGCTGTCGGGATGGGAAAGGACCCAGACTTCCCAGAAACTGCACCAGTGGGAGAAGATCTTCCCTCATGGAATAAAAAAGCGATGCTCATCCTGCTTTTTCAGGGAATGAAGCTCAGAGAACAGGGGCTGGCACCTCTCTGCTCTCAGATCAGCAGCTAAAATGGACAGCAGAGTGTCTTCTGTTAAGGGCTACGTGCTAATTCCAGGTGGCTGCTTCTTCCGACCCCAAGAAAATAGAGCCTGACTTATGGCTCGGGTCCAGTCAGCACCTGCCAAGTGGAAGGAGATGCTGCTGCCACGCAGGAGCTGTCTTCGCAGGCAGCTGGAGCAGGCCAGAGGCAGTTCTCCAGCATCTGCTCTTTCCAGCATTCTCCTTGTTCCGAAGAAGAGAGCCTGGGGAGTCCCTCGGGCCAGAGAAGGAGCTGGAAGGAGCTGTGCTGGGAATCTGCGCTTCAGCTCCCTCCAGCTTCATGAAGCACATGCCTTTCAAAAGGCATTCTAGAAACATATGGCCTCAATTTTCGCCTGGTTGGTGACATTTCTTCCCTGCATCGCCCGGAGGAAGCTGTTTGGGTGATTATTCATCCCCACAACTCAATAACCGCGCCAGTCTGGAGCGGTCTGGTTCCCCGGGGCTGCAGTTACAGCTTGATCTGCTTGGCTGTGAAGTGATCACTCCCTCCATTCGGTGGGAATGCTTGAGTGCTGGGTGTCTCCCTGGGCTTCAGGTTGAGCACTCTCCTTTTTCGTGGGGTCTGCACTGCATCTGGGAACCCTGCTTGGTCACTGTTCAACCGTTCCCCTTGCTGGGTCGTCCGTACCTTGGAAAATCCAGCTGCTGATGGAGGTTTGGATGGTTTTGAAGCTCCCAGTTGTTCTCAGTGCCCAGCTGGTGCAAGATACAATATATTACATCTCCTTTTTTTTTTCCTTTTCTTTTCCTGTAAGGCCACATCCCAACTTCTTCCTTCTTCATATCGTTAAGGAAACAAAGGCGATCCACTTGAGGAATTTGCAAAGGGAGACACAGCCAAGCAGGAACACAAGCAGAAGAGCTGAAAAACAACCCCAGACAAGCCAGCTTATGACCTCCGGTGCATTTCAGAAGAAAAGAGCCTTTCTTTGGTTTGGCTACAGCTGGAGTTGGGTGGTGCCTCAGTTTAGAGTAAGTTATACAGGACTGGGTTGCACGTCTCTCTGCTTGCAGCCTCTCCTGCAAGGGTATTCTCTCGGGCAGGCAGACTGAGCATCAGAAATGCAAATCCCCTCAAGGTGGGGATGCTTTTTCCAGACTGGTGCAGCTCTCATTTTGTTAGGAAGCTGAGCTGAGGCCTTCTTTCTCCTTGCTTTTCCTACCCTTGACAGGGGAAGCTGCCCGCCTGTCTCTGTCAGGGCTTTGTCGTAAGGAGCTGGCTGACACGAGATGAATAACTGCGTGTGCTGCACCAGGTGCTCTTCGTGTCCCCATTTCAAAGGGACTACTGGGATGGGAAGCCCAGCAGTCATCGATCAGAGGGTCGGTCAGTGGCTGTGCATCTGCGGTGTGTGGGCAGCCAAGCGGTGTTTTCATGCCGTGTGATCCGTGCTGCGTTTGGATAGAGGAAACTGGAGAGCCCACGGTGGCTCAGCTTGGCGCAGGGTGCAGGCTGGCTGCCACTCTCTCATCCCGAGGCAGGGATTTCTCAAGCTGACAAAGTGCAGCTGCCGTTTTTATGGACTTAACCCTCTGAGCACACAGGGGAGTGAGTGCTCAATCAGCATTTTGGACGCCCAGCTGGGTAACACAGCACGAGGGTCTTGCCCCAGCCCCTTCACTGTGAGACCACTCCTTCCACCTCACAGGAGGATGGCCCGTGCAAGCTCCTGGTGTCCTCACAGCATTAATTAAGACAATTAAGCGTTGTCTTAGCCACAGTAATCCGACAGCATCACTGTGGCTAAGATGAGGCCCTCAGAGACCTCTTTCCTCGCTAACATCTCGCTCTGTCTTCAGAGGGCCACTTCTCTGCTTCCCTTCCTAGTTTCCTCTAAGCAGAAATGCCACTCAGAAGCCAACTTGCTTGAACAAAAGCTGTGTTTCCTTTCAGTAATACCAGAACTAAAAAAGGGAAAAAACGATTAAAATGCTCACTCATCCTGGTATCAACCCCCACCAAGCGCTTCCCTGCTGTCTTTGTGGCTCCTGTTTACCAGTGCTGGGCTGCTACAGCAGGAGGTTTAGGAGCACCGAAGGATTTGCGTGCAGAGCCATTCGTTGTCTAAGAAATCTTGTTGACTTAAAAGTTAGTACATGCCTGCTGAATTGCCTGCACGGCCATAAAGCATTCAAGTGAGAATTGTTCTGGTCTCTGGAGCGAAGTTCTCCTGCAGAAGCTGCCTCGGAGGAGCGGAGGGTTCAACAGATTTATTTATTCTTAGCTTGCCTCCTGGTGGGAGCTAACTGCCAGGAGATGGCTTCATGGAGAAATCAGTGCTGGGCTGTGGCCACCCTCAGCCCAGGAGGGACACACGTTTCAACCCGTTTCAGCCTCCTCCAACTCCAACCTCAGCAACTGAGCGTGCTGTTGAGCGAGGGATGGAAGGTGCCACGCGTTGTCCTTGTCACCACATCACCCAGAGCTACGCTGGTGGTACCTGCAACACCATCAGGGAGGCGTTCAGCTGCGTTCGTGGAGGGAGAAGCACTCTGACAGCCTCCCAGAGGCCAATTGATCACAGCAAGTAGAGAAACACAGACCCAACACCTGCCACGGTGTTGGCAATTGTCATAAAACCCTGCGTGGGGCTGGAGAGGGCTGTTGTATTTCTTCTGGTACAAAAAGGGCTGTCTCCATAGCGCTGGAGTGTCACTGCACAAACACCGAGGAATAAAACTCCTGCTGGTAGTGCTCCTGCTTTGCTCTGCCAGGGACCATAAAGATGGCAAGCGCAGCAGATCATGAGCTCCCTGCTGCCAGTCACTGGGTGCTAGGAAGGAAACCGGGGCCCAAGGGGATTGCTGTGAACGTTGTGCTCACCAGCAAGGGGTGTTGGGGTGTTGGTTGGTGCAAGGCAGCTGTCTTCATCCTGCTTCGGCCCTGTGGGCTCTGCTTTGCTCAGGTTGACCCTGATGGGTATCTTTGCAGGGTGAGCTGTCTTCAGCAGGGCAGCAGGGTTTTCTGCCAATTATATGGGGAACGGGGCTCTGATCTGTGCTGCGGGATGCCTTGGGAAATGGTAAGGACCTTGCTGTATGGTCTGTCTTGGAGCAGACTATGGGGCAGTACTTCCCAGCTCTGAAATATTTTTGCTCTGTGGCCACTTGCCTTGTCCTTTCACATCCACATGTCCTGAATCCAGTGGGAGGCTGGAACAAACAGGTGCTTTGACAAGACTGCAATATCGCCCAGGGTCCCCTTGATTTGAGAGGACCTATGTATTTTTCCCAGGAGAGCAGTGCAGGCCAGGGCCAGGGCACAGAGATGTGGTGGCACCTCCATCGTTGGGGTCATCAGCATCCACATGGCTGAGGCTTTCGGCAACCTGAACTATCTGGGAGCAGGAGACACCCTGAGATCTCTCCACATCAGAATTCATTAAACATAAAGACTTCACCATGGCCTCAAAAAGACCCCCACACCAGAAATAGCTGGGAGCTATGAAAACATTTATAGAAGATACCCTGAATATTTCACCATCTTCTTATGCTTTTTTGAGCATATTCCTCATGGGCCTTTTCTCCTCTGTACTTTTCTTTATAGGTAAAGACTACACAGCAGCAGCAGAGCAAGGAGGAGACGTGTGACTAATGTGTCGGAGGAGGGCTTGTCTGTATCCCTGTTCCAGGAGCCCAAGCATTTCACTGCTCCTTGGTGAGTGCTCGGACTTAACTGTACCAGAGGAACGTGCCAGCTGCAATTCTTTCCCAACAAAGGCGCTCTATTCCTCTTTTTAAATGTCGTGTAAATGTCAATAACAAGTCTATAAACACAGCTAACTGTCTGGCACGCTACCCCTCCAGGGGGGAGGACAGAGACGGGCTGGGCAGCTTCCCAGTGAGGCAGAACCTTGCTGGCTGGAGCACTCAGTCTGAAGCTCTATCAAAAAGCAACGTGGGCATAAATAGGTTTTACTGCATTAGAGCCAGCCAAATGTCCCAGTCAGAGCATGTCTGGGGAAACAAGGGGGTAGTTTGGGTGATCTACAGCCCAGCCCTGTGCTGCAGTCTTTCTGGGAAAGCTCTGTGCTGCTCCCAGGGTGCAGGGTGCTCCTGAGAGCTGGGGCCTTAACGTGACCTCCCTCACTGCTCACAATTGCCCTTCCCGAGTCCAGACCACACTGGGGCTTGGGGAAGCCACTGTAAAACCAACATTATCCCTTGTACTTGGTGTGGGATGCTTGATCTGGAAAGAGCGTGACTGTAAGTGAGGGGGGACAGAGAGGAGCAGCACCGATGCCCGGTGCGCAGTCAGCAACAGAGCCTCAGTTCCTGGTTAACTGGGTTCGCAGGCTAAGCTGAAACCTGAACTCAAGGACCTTCTTCAGCACACACAGCCTCAAAAGGAGCTTTTTCAGCCTGTCACCAGCCCTGAGCAGCAAATGCAGTCATGCCCTTTGCTCGGACCTACTTTTGACAATCTTCTGAAACAGCTTTGACCACATTTTGCCAGGATGTGGTGCAGGGATCCCACGTTTTGCTGCTGTCACTACCTGTAGACGCTGCAATCTGACCTGCTGTAAATGGGGCTGCCCTGGGGGCATTGGTTCAGCAGAGCCGTTCCCCTGTAGGACAGCATCCCTGGGCCAGGGGGAGAGCATGCTTGGCAAAGGGAGCTGGATACGGACCTCTCTTTTATAGGCTGGCCACCGGGGAGCAGATTCAGGCGACCTGGCCTTCCCAAGGCCACTATCAGCCAGGAGCAACGTGACTCAATTATCTCTGTTCAGAGGTGGCACAGAAAACCCTAAGGATGCAGGGGTTTGGGAGCCTCAGAGAGGCTGTGTGTGTGAGAGACGGGGCCCAGAAGCACTCTAAGAAATCTGCCTATGTTTTGTGGATATGTTTTAACAGCAAGTGCACAATCACACCTGCCACCAAGGGCTTTATAAACACAGCAGTCCCCGTGTCTGCGTTCTCTAGCAAACACCACCTGGACAAGAGCTCTTTTTTTGGCCTTTCTAACATCCCCTCACCTCCCCCAGCTGTCAGCAGGGTTAGCTCGGACTTCCTTATCTCTGCAGCAGAAACTGTCACATGGGGGTTTCAGCCACAAAACGCACAGGAAGCGTCTGACTGTGGTCACCTCACTCCAAAGCTCGGGTTCACGTTCAAATGTGAAAGCAGCGCTGACCTGAATCACCTGCAGGACACAGTGGGGCAGTGCAAAAATATTTTTACGAGCTTTTTTTCCCCTTAAAACCAGGAAAAAAATGGATGGTCTTTTGAAAGGGAAACCCCTGCTGTGTGATTGATTAATAGGACAGTGCTAGTAAAAGAATATTTAAAACTTGAAGCACTTTTGATGATGCTTTTGATGGCGAGATAGGCAACACGACCAGCAGGAAATGGTGTGCAATATCAGAGTGATGTCAATGTCAGGCAGATAGCTGAGCCATCAGCTTACACCCAGCTTCCTGGGTGCATGCAGGTTTCTTATTCCCCTGCAGCAGAGAGCAGCTTTAAAGATTGATCAAACATCCTGCGCCTCACCTTGTCAGCATTTTTTTTTTGTGTGTGATGCAAAGACTGAGGGAGGAACCTGAGAAACCAAAAGCTTTCCTTCACCCAGCTGCTGTAGAGGGCAAGGCACCCAGGAAAGACAGCTTCCTCTTGTGAGAGCAGGAGGCTCCAAAATAGCCACAGACTGCTTCTGTGCAGGGCAAGGGCTAAGCTCACTGCAAGGCTTCGTGGCAGGACAGGAAATACCGTCTGCCAGCCCACACAAAGGCTGTGCTGTGCTTTATTCCCTCCCCCCTGCTCTCTTTCTTACCTTATAGATAAACAGCAGAGGCCACCCAGAGCTCCGGAGTTGATTGCTGAAAATTCAGCACTTCAGGAAGCCACCAAGACCTGGCCAAAGACAGGTGAAACCTGGCCCTGTCTGGCATTACAGTACTTGTTCCCTTCCTGCAGAGGGGAAATTTCCTGCCAGTGCATGATAACTGTGCATTGCAGTGCCAACAGGCAGAGCTAGTTTGGAGTTGAAGGGCCTCCATCCCTTCTGATCTTGGTTTAAGAACAGAGCCTCCCAGCACAACACACACCCTAACATCCCTCACGCACCAGCAGCCAGGCAGAGAAATCCCACATCAGGACAGGTGGAGGGGGGAGGACTGAGCTTCAGCAGAGGCTGACCCGAAATCAATGCAGAAAAACCTGAAAAGGCTGTTCCTGCTACTGCAAGCAGGGTAAAGAGCAGTTCAGGAACACCCTGGTTAGTGGAGAAACTCCACGGCGTATCTAAGATCAGAGGGAACCTCAAATCAGCCTCAGATCCCTGTTACTGTTAGCCTGAGCTGATCAATTTGGGAGTGCAGTTTCCCTTCCAGAAGGAGCATCACGTCACCGTGCTGCCAAGCCTCTTCCAGCCACTGCCCCTGCAAAAAGTTTGGCTCCTTTCCTCGGCTGCAGAGCGTTCTCTGGAAGCGTTTGTGTTGGCAGGAAGGCTGCGTGAATGACCCAGCTCCTTCCTGCTGCAGGCGGCCGAGTCCATTGCGGACGTGTGCTCCTCCCTGCCAGCGCTGCTTGCAGGAAGCTGCCCTCGTGCCCAAACCCCCCTCCCTAACCCCACGGGTATTGAAATGAGACAGCAAGGCACACAGCTCACATGGTTTCAACCTTTATTTTAAACAATCAGATAAAAACAGAACCGCGGTTTTTTAAAAGACTCATTACATCGCAATTATAAAGTGCATTTCTCCCCTTGAATGTTGTGTACAAAAATATCTTTTAAAAACAAAAACATGCACAAAACCCCACAAGGCACTTCCAGGCATAGAGTGAGGAGAGCAGCCCCTTACCTCTATGTTCACATTGGCAATGGAAAAAGGGAAGAGGGGGAAGGCCACAAGTAGTAACTTTGAACTACTATTGGTCAGATAGTCAGTTCCCAGCCTAGCTTCTACTTACGGGATTGCTCTTCTAGCTTATCCTCCATCCTGTTCCCCAAGCACACCGCTTCCACAGCCTGCGAGCATGCAGGCCCCCAAGGAGACAGCACCATGCGCAGCACCCAGACATACATGCCTTGTTCCAGCCCACAAACTGCCCTCGGGAGGCACGCGAGCATGCCAGGAGAGCACGACTTCTCTACAGTGTCTTACAGCATTAGCATCGCACACTAAATCAAAAAAAAAAAAATACATCAGTGTCGCTCAGACTTTTAAAAACAGGTTCGAACCAAGCTAGGCAACAGTCCCTCCAAGAGACACAGGTGAGAAGAGCTGACTCAGGAAGCTCTCTGAAGAGAGGAACCAGACCCAACGAGCTCCGGGCTAGCAAGCAGATTTACCACCTGGAGTGAGCGATCAGAGCGATAACAGGCACTGATGTCAGGTTGGGAAGGCAGCAGTTGGAAGCCAGCTATTCTTCCTGCAAGCCCTTTTGTTCCTTCCAGCATCCGACAGCGATCACTGCATCCCTTCCGGGTTTGGGTAAAACAGCTGAAGTAACTCATGCAGTAGTCTCCTCAACTAAAAGCCAGGTTTGAGGAGCTAACAAGGAGTCTAGCCCCACTCTCCAGCTATCCGGAGGCTACTACAGACACCCCAAAGTCTTATAAAGCTTATGCACTAAGATTCCCTTGACCTCTACGTCTACTAACTATTCAGCACCCTCCCTTTGAGATGAGGGATTAAGGTTTTTTCCGCCCAACTAGTAACGCGAGCAGCTGTGTGAGGCTGTTGGCACCCCACAAGCTGGCCACCTCATCTCCCTACGGTGAGCGCAGCACAAAGCTTGGGCACTCACGGGGTGAAATGGCAGCAGCCACTACAGCAGGTTCGTGTCCTTCCTTGCAGGTGAGCCCCACCACCCCGTTAGCTACCAGGTAGTCCATGGCACGGAGTAACAAACCACTGGATCATAAAAAAAAAAAAAAAAGGCAACATCACTTCCAAAACTTGTTGATCTCAAACCCTTGCTGAGACCACGCGTGCCACCGCGCTCTCAGCCAAGGCACTTCCACCACAGTAGGCACATTTCAGTCTTTTTTTCTTAACGGGACGTGGCAGAGTAGCTGTGCTCTGTGTTCAGCTCCCACAGCACCTGAGCACAGCCCCCGGGCCCCAGCAAAAACTCTGCCACACAGTTCACAGAAGGAAGTACTCGCATTCTCGGGGCCCAGCAAGGCCAAGAGCTGGCTTCAGACGTCCATCGAGGGGAAAAAGGCATCATTGGTCACTTGTGGTTGAAAGATGGGAAGGTTTTAAGGAAAGCAGTCAAAACTGTCAACCCGCTGCCGTGTTAAAGCGCCGCACAGCTACAGCTAATCTCTATTTTTGGTAACATCCAGCATATGATGAAAGCTTTTCAAGATCAGCTGATAAAACTGGTGACTAAGCATATCAGATTCTCTCCCACAGGCACATATGTCTCCTAATACAGCAGGCTGCAAGCTACACCTCTTACCATCAGTTGTATTTTCGCTTCCAAAAATACCCTTCTTGCCTCGAGCAGAGAGGACCTCGCACGAGGAAGTGCATGAGAAGATGACTGCTCCCCACAAGCTGACCACTTCCTAATTCCCTGACAGGCGCAGGCCAGCTTTGCAAGGAGAACCCTGCAGCTGAAGTACAGCACACTTTAAAAAAAATACTAGAACATATTATGGAAAAAAAAAATTAGCAAGCAACACGAGCCAGCCATCACTACGTAGCTTAGGCACACAATACAAGCACTGTAGTGTTTCCCTGGAGAGTAGCAGCTTTACAGAAGAGGAAGGAGTAGCAGCACTGAACAGACAGGCAAGCAACATCTCCTGTTCCTTTGAGCATCTGGAGAGCCAGTTAGCTGACTTCGGGCAGGGAAGGCAGCCCATTACACCGGGGGTGTCCCTGATTATAAGCCAGCCGCCAGCAGAGCGCTGCGCTTTTGCTGGGAGGCTGATGCAGAGCTCTGCACGAGCCTCGTTTCCTTCACCTTCCAGCTCATATTCAGATGGGCTCCCAGGCCTGCAGACACGCCAGCAACAGTCAGGACTTGGTCTTTAGGTCAATAGTAAGGCCCCAGCTTCTCGTAGCCCGAATAGCTCGGCCACTCAGGGAACAGGCCGTAGGAACAGCGAGGGCTCCCAAACTGGTCAAAGGCACTGCCAAAGTCAGGGCCACGCGGGGGGCAAATGGCTTCCTGGGCAGACTTCAGTTCCGACCGTATGATGCGGTAGTTCGTGCCTCTGTTGCTGTCCCAGTACACTTTGCCATTGCACTCAAAGGAGATGGCAAACTCGACTCTTTCATGGGATTGAATTCCCTCGGGCAAGCTGATGTCAAAGGAAAACGTGTCCCGATCTGACCCTCCGTATGTATCCTTGACGTACTGGCATGGGTAGTCTACAAAGTTTTTCCAGGTGTCGAATGTCATCCTGATCCTCACGCTCTTTTCAAAAGCCAGGTTCTTCACTTTCACTGTGCCCACCACAGACCGCTCCTTCAACATGCAGTTTTCCAGGCACACGCAGTCCGTCTGGAGACGGTTTCTGAAGTCCAGGTAGTCCGCAGAGGGCTGGACAAAATCCAGGACAAAGCTGTCCCTCTCCACCGTCGTCAGACCCACGATGTTGTCGATCAGCTCGGTGATGTTGAAAGGAATATCCAGGGGATCATCGAACTCCGAGAACACCTTCACCATCGTCAGAGCGAAGCCTCTACTGTCTGCAAACGACACCTTCTTCTTCACTTTGGTGTGTGGGAAGGAGTCTGCTGCCTCTTCTGGTCCTGTCAGCAGTGCCTTGCTGTTCAGCTGGATGCACGGCCGCAACGGCTTGTTTGGCTTTGGGGCAATTTTGCAGGCACACCTCTCTCTTCGCAGGGGTGAAGAGCACAGGTACAGCTGCATCGCTACGTCCACAGCCATCGCTTGCTTGTGAGGAAAGTAGTCTAATACTCTGGAGGATGAGAAGAAGGGTCAGTTTATGTTAGAGGAGCATTTTGATGAGTTGTCAGACAGTTGTTACACCACTTTTCCCCATCCATCCCAAAGACTTAGTTTCTATCATCCCCACAAGTCCCTCAAGCTTTGTAAGAGCTGGGTATCTGCACAGCATAATTTACAGGCACTTTAGGAAGTGTCCTGCAGCAGAACTGTCTGGACCTTAGTCTTTTGTACCCTTGAAGAACAAGTTCACCTCCAATTGCTAGAGCTACCACGTGAAGACACAGACAGACACTGCCCTACTAGGCTTGCAATAGCAGGCTCTGGAACATTTTTGATTCAAAGCAAAATCCACGTCTCAGTCCTGCTTATGTCCACAAAACCCAGAGATTATCAAATTCCAGTGCCACATAAAGCAGTATTCCTGCTGCCCACTCCTCCCTCCCACAAAACTTTCCCCATTGCATCTGACAACTTTGTAGGGGCAGGAGCTCATATGGTCACAGGCTGCTGTAGGCAGCTCACCTTTGGTTTTATAGGACCCCAGATGTCACATGTGTTAAGAGGCTGAAAAGCACCCCTTGGATTGAGGTGCATACTTTGTTCATCACCACCTCCAAGAATTGCTCCAACTACTCCATAAAAAATGCCCACACGGTATTGCAAGGATGGCAAGAGCTGGATAAAGCAGAAGGGTGCAGACTTAGCTGACACTGCACCTATGGAGAAGCAGCTTCCTTCCCTCTACAGAATTTTAAAACAGATGCCAGCTCAGACAGGCCGGGAGGTTTTCCTTTCATACCTTAAGCCTCCACAGCACTTGTGCTGAGCCCCAAGGAAACATGAATATAACCACAGGGCTCAGCCACAACCAGCTTACCTACTCGAGGCTGAAGCAACCTTTGGAAACGAGTCCTTGGCCCCCAGCAGGGCAGACTGTGTGCCCTTCCACCACTGGTATCTCCTTCCTCTAGCATCCAGACTGTTCCCCCAGGGGTGCAGCACAGCCCACCCATGCCTTAAAGTCAGAATATTCCCGTAGTGTACCTTCCCCATTTGGCTGGGGACCATCCTCCAGAGCTACTTGCACTGTGCAGACTGAGCCAGCAGCAGGAGCAGCGGCCGCTGACCGCATGCTACACCAGAGCTCATGCTGCCAAAACCAAGCACAGTCAGCTCGAGTACTCGGCAGCTGTCCCTGGGCCAAGAAAAAGGCAGCAGAGCCACTCTGCAGTTCGGTGCTTTAACTCCCCACCCCATAACACCAACAGAGCGGCTCTGAGCCGTCCTGCACAGCATCCATTCAGCAAGTGCTCTGAGCAAGCCGATGCCCACACGCGGGGCTGGCTTCCCAACACACCCACCGGTTATCCCCTTCTGCATGTCCTCCTCCAGCCTTCTCTGAAGCTCAAGGGCAGCTGGATAGGACGGGCAGCCGATCTACCTGCCTGCCAGCACCATCCCGCTCGGCTCTGCCGAGTTTCTCACACGCACTTCATGTAGGTCACTTCCTCCTTTAAAATCAGGCAGCTCCCAATGCCTCTCTCTCACCTGCATTATTTAGCTGTGTCCTTTCAGTCAAGGAAATTCCCACAGCAGCTGAAAACTCGGGTAAAATCACAAGCACCATAAGCATCAGCAACTCCCTAACGCTCATAATGCAGAGGCACGAAATACCCAGCCCGATTTGCATTACTTGGAGCTTTTTTCCAAGCTTAGGGACTGAAGTACAAGCCCTCTACCTACCTATATTTACAAGCAGCCACTTTCAGCCTGTTTCATGCCCCAGACACCTTCCTGCTCTTCACTTGGAGCCCGCTGCTCCCCAGCTCACATTCACAACCCTTTGCTTTCAGGGGTAGCATTGGCAGCCTGGTGCTTACGCATTGAAGCTGGGAGCGTGCAAACAGCTTGGGCAAAGTGGGCAAGCAGGGAGCAAGCAGCAAGGGGCAGGCAGCAGGGGCTGACCCCCTTCCCCTCCAAAAATAAAAAGAAGAGGCAGGCTAAATCAGACCAAATCCTCTACCTCTGGAGGTGCCCTCCCCAGAAGATGCCCCTGCTCGCTCTGAACCCTTCACTTTCAGGAAGGGGAAGCAGGTGAGAGCAAGAGGGGTTATTCACACTCACATTTAACCCAGCCTGGCTGTCGGAACAACCCGAGCCGCCCCCAGCACACAGCCCAGCTCCCGCAAGCATCCCCTTGCGTGCCACCCACCCCGCTCCCCCAACCCCAAATCCCCAACCCTCAAACCCATCCCAACCCCAACTCGGGACTGCTCCCCGTGCAAACCTACAGGGAGCCGAGACCCCCCCCCCCAGCCGTTCCCATACCTGGCACCGTGCATGGGGCCGCTCCCCGCCGCCACCGCCGCTCCCCCCGGGCCACCCCCAGCCCCGGCCCCGCTGCCTTAAGACGGCGGCGCCGCCCGGCCCCTGCCCGGCCCCCGCCCGGCCCCTCCCCGGCCCGCGCCGCGGCCAATGGCAGCGGGGCCGCGGCCATGGCGCTGAGGGGCCCGGCCACAGGCAGCCCTCAGCGGGCACCCGCACAGGGCTCGGAGGTGCTGATGGCACCGAGAAGGGTCCAGCGGGTGGTCCGCTGGCCTGACGGGCAGCCTGCTGGCTTTGCTCTGCCCTGATCCCCCTCACAAAGTTGGGGGGTAAACAGAATTTCCCTCTCTCTCCCCCCCCCCCAAAACCAATCCTCTGTGTGAACAGCTCTGAGCAATGTCACTCTTGCCTCCTTTCCAGCCCATGAAAGTAGGGTCGAAGTGTCGACATTTGGTTTGAATTAACTCATGGAAGCGCACACAGCTATTGTTACACCCAGGGACTGCCTGCCGCAAGCCGCCGCTTCATAAACTTATTACTCTGCAAGGAAAAAGGGGGTTTTGTTGAGGGGGGAGAAGCATTGCTTTAGCCTCGCGGGTTTCTGCTGTTAGATAGAGGCAGTGGTGAGTTTTAAAGGAGCTGGGAGATGTATCCGTGTCCGTGGCAGGACTCTTGGAGGTGTGGATCAATATTTACAGTGCTACTTCGAGAGGGGTTGGCAGCAGGGATGAGAGGCACCATGCCCAGATTTGCCCAGCAGCAATGGACAGAGACCCAAAAGGGCCCGTGGGTCTTCTCCACTGCTGCCTCAGGCAGAGTCAGCACAACCCGGCTCAGCATTGCTGATCATGGGATATTGTGAAAAGGGATTTCCCAGACAGATCCTGGTGGAAGTGTAATGGATGAGCCCAAAATCTGGGAAGCCCCCAGCCTGACTTGTGCCCTGCTGTGAGCTGCCTGTGCAAGCTGCTGGCTGCTTGGCACTGCAGAGGCGCTGGGAGAGGTGGTGGTCAGCGTTGGAGCTGTGCAGGCTTCGGGGGGATGCATGCGAGGTGACTGGGGTGTGTTTCTGGCCTGCGATAAAAGCTCTGTTTGCCTTGAGCGGGACACAGTGTTTCACAACTGCTGCCTGCAGTTTGCCTCCAAAGTAAAGGTAGGTGGAAGTCAGGGCAGGGCGTTGTGGCGGGCTGTGGACACAGGCTCTTATCTTTTGGGAGCAGAGATAAGGGCTATATTTAGCTCTGTGCTGAGCCCTTGCACAGTGGTCTTAATGATTTCCCCACAGCTTTCCACCCCTCCCACCTCGCTGGGGGATGAGGAAGAGCAATCGTCTCCTTCCCTGTCAGCTCCATGGCGCAGGGAAGAGGCTTTGCAGATGTTTCTCCCTGAGGGTGACCAGGCCTAGGGAAGTCCCATCCTTGGTGGACATCTCTGGAAGGAGAGTCCCTGTCTCCTACCAGCTCCAACCTAGGGTTTGTTTGCAGTGCAGGACCCCCGGGACAGGACCTTGTGGCTCCTGCACCCCTTGACTGTGGCTCTGTGGAAGGACAAGCTGCTTGCTCCCTCTTGCAGGGCAGCCCTCCTTCCCAGGTGCTCCTCCATGCCACGGCCGCCATGGTGACATGAAATCATGATGCAGAAGATCAGACTGGCTGTGGGGAAGCGTAAGGCTCTTGTTGAAGAGGCTGTGTGCCCTCTGGGGAGTGGGAAGATGCCCCCCTGTGTTGTGTCCAAGCAGTCCCTCAGGAGCCACCTCTACCAGTAGGTACCTGGGGACACATCCTGGTCCTGCCACCTCTTTGGGCTCCTCGCTGGAGGTGGGAGCAGTCAGAGTGTTGTCTCCTGGCCCCAGCAGCCAGCCCCGGGGAGGGGAAGGGGAGCAGGGCTGGGGGCGTTGTGCAACGTGTCCACACCACAGCGGGCTGCGGGGCCAAGGCTCAAGGGCGAGTGTTGTAAACCCATGGGGCGGCTGACGTAACCGCACTGCCTGGGGCCGCTGCCACGGGACACCCTGTCTGTGGCCTCCTGCCCCTTCCCAAACCAGCAGCCCCCTCCTGCTGCCTCAATTCCTCCCCACCCTCCCGAGCTGTGGCCTCCCATTGCCCTACTGGGAGGCCCCAGCCCTTCCACACCCGATTTTGTCCCCAGCATAATGAAAGCGACTGGGAAGCATTTTGGGAAGGTCTCCGTCCCTGTCCCCTGGGGGTCCTTGGGCTGCTCCCTGTGCTCTCCACGTCCCACAGACAATGCCTGTGGTGGCACAGTGGATGCTGTTGCAATATTGGTACTTGCCAACAATTTCCAAATCACAAGTGCCAAGAAAGTGCTGCTGCCTTTGAGCCAGGCCCCAGTGCTTGCACCAGGCAGAGAGTTCTTTTTTTTTTTTTTTTTTTTTTTTTTTTTTTAATGTTTAAGTTTGCCTTCCTGTGGCAAGGCCGAGGGGAGCTCTGAAGTAATTTTAACTAGGTGTTGCCTCATGTCAAAATACCGAGGGAGAAACTAATTTTGGAGTAATTTTTTGTCATCGAAGGCATGTGATTAGGGAGGAAATCCTGGCTGAAACAGAAGAGGCTATTTTGGGCAACACCGGGGTGCTGCAGGAGAGCCGCCAGGGCAGCGCGGTGCCCCAGGAGCAGCGGCAGCAGGCCGCATGGTTTGTGCTCCTCCAGAAAGCGTGTACCCATGGCCGAGCTGTGTGTCCGTCTGTCTGTCAGCCCTCCCTCACCCCTTCTGGGTGTACAGACTGGTTACAGCCACCCCCGACAGGAGGGCAGGAAGCCTGCAGATCCCTTTTAGGAATCCCACTCATGCAGTGGGATTCTCCTCTTTTATCTCCATAGGTCTCCCACTTCTGTGGCCATCCCAGAAGTTGGAAATAAGGCAAAGAGCCTTCAACGTGCCGAAGGAAGCCCCACTCCGGGTTCAGACTCCCGCCTGTGTTCCAAGGCAGGGGCCCCACTGCCACTCCTGTCCCTGCCCAAAAGAAAGGAGTTGCTTCAGTGCCTTGGCTGCAGGCCTGAGATGGAATATTTGCCTTGGCACGGCTCCATTGGGATCTCGTATGTGCTCAGATGGTCAAGCACCCCAAAGAACATGTACTCTGCCCTGCAGAAGACCGCGGCACCTTCCCTTCCAAGCTGGTGTGTGCAGAGAAGACAGTGCGGGCCCAGGTGCAAAACCTAGCCTGTGTGTTGTGGAAAAATACCAGGTAGTGTAGCAGTATTAGTTCCTAATAATAAAAATGCCCAGCACCAAGGAAATCCTTGCAAAAATAGATGTCATGAGGGAGAAAGTTAAGGCAAATATGTTATTGCAAGTGCCCTAGGGAAAGCTGCTACTCACCGGGAAAAAAGGAGATGGGCTTCCAGCAGAGGAAGAGCCCAAAGAGCAGCACAAGGAAACAAAATCCCAGTAGGGCACCCAAATGACAGGCAGGCAGGAACAAGAAAGAGGTGAGTCCTTGGCCAGGCATACAAGGTGCTTGTCAGAGATATTGTAGTGGTGCTGGGGTGAGGCACTGTAGGCAGAGTACCAGGCTAGAGCAACCTTTTCCCAGGGATTAAGACCACTTAGGCTCAGTGGGTTAGTCTCTCCCAGGAGAGAAGGGTAACTCCTGTTCGCTCATCACCTATGATATTCTCTTTAGAGTTGTGCTCCAAGTCCTTGCCTACATGCAGTCCACAGCTTTCATTCCCATTAGTGAAGTCATGGAAAAATCACAGCAAAAGAAAGGAGGCTGGTTGTCTGCTTCAGGACTGCATGAAGAAGTGCAACAAATGTGTACACATCTTTACTTTTTTTTTTTTCTTGTCAGTTTCCCTTCCCCTAATGAACACACGCTGTAGAGATGCCTGGCTTGACATCCCAGAGACTTTTCTTTGTCTTTGCTGCTCTTCAGCTGATGCAAAGAAACACAGTGGCTTTCCTTCCCCTATGCTGTTTGCTTGAACCCCGGAGTACTTGGTTGTGCAGATACAATCTGTAAAATTTGTCTGTAATGGGTACATGCCTTCCCATAGAAGGGGAACAAGGGACATAAGGACACAGTCTGGACTGAACTTTAAATTCTCCAAATTTCCTTTGTGCTCTTGCAGGAGAGGAACGAGGGCCGTGATGGAGTGGTGAGGGTATTGAAAGGAAGTGGTGGTATTTCCATCGGCACACTGCTATGGCTGCAGAGAGAGTGCGATGCTTGGCTCCGCTCAGGTATGCTGAATCAGTTCAGATGCATTAACAGCTTCGCTTGTTTATACCTGCAAGTGTCCGACTGGTGGACTTGGATCTGTTCTGGATACACAGGTCATAGCGAAGCAATGTTCTAGGGCAACTTTAGTGACTGCGAGCTTTATTTGGTGGGGCAGACATCTTGGGAACTTGCACGTACTGGGCCTGGGGCCTCAGAGGACATAGCGCTGTACAAGAGGCTGTGCTTTGCTTGAAAGGCACATGCACTTCTTGTATGTTGATGAAGGCTGAGAGGGAAAAGGTCGGACTGAGGAATGCTTGCAGTTCTTGGTGATAAAGACAAACCCAACCTCTCCCCAAAGATTCATCAGCTCTCTGTGCTGCAGCAGACAATAGTCAGTCCCTCCAAGAATCATTTTTTCTCACCCTAAGATGAAGGATGGGACCCATTACTTTTTGGACTCGCCTATCTCTGTCCATTCACTATAAAGGGAATCTGAAAACCAGGAGGAGTGAGATGCCTGACTTTTACATGAGGAGGGAGATCAGCTAGAGCTGCTCCCATCATCAGCCCTTGTGTTCTTTGAAAATATTTTGCAAATATCACCTAGTCTTTTTATTTGAAAGTGTTACTTTAATCCCAGGGAAAAATGGAAATATTCATGTGTCATGTGTCAAATTAACCAGAAGTTTGAAGTTTTGCAGAAACTGATGGCAGCTAAGGAACTAAATGTAGCTAAGTAGGTCACTTGAGATGCCAGGTTTGGTGCATACAATTACCTCCACTGTCTGTAGGAAGCTTGGCGTTGCCGACTGAGTGCTTAGGAGTCTGCAGAGATGTCTCCCTCCCTGTCCCATCTCCCAAGATCTAGTGAATCTCATTTGTGCCTAGCAGGAGCTGGTTAAGCGCAGCATCTGTGTAGCAGAGCAAGTACCTTTAAGCTTGGATTGGTGAAATTTTGGTAGGGGAGGAGGAAGTCAGGCCATCAGGGTGTGCAGAATTAACTCATAGCTCAGTCAAATCAAACAATCAAATACTTCTTGACTTTTAAATCCCTAAACGTGAGCTAAGGTGGCTTTAAATAGCAAATGGTGGCCCTTGGTTAACCCAGAGGTTCTGGTCGTGGAGCTGGCTCTGGGTTGCAGTGCCTGGCTGCTCTCACACCAGCTGGGTTCCCAGTTCGTCAGTACTCCTGGCTCATTGCTGCCTGCTGGACTGGGTAGTGGGGAGCACATGTTTCCACAGGCACCTGTAAATATGAAAATAGGTTTGTACATTACGTGGCAATAAATGTGTTTGCACATACCCATACAGGTCAATGTACTTTTTAATAGAAAACACTAATCATGAACTGCAAATTAAAAAGTGCATTAAAAATGCAGATTGATGACGTTAAATAACGTATTTAAAATAAATCTCTAAGTAAAGGGCTGGAGGCAGTTGCCTTGGGTGCATAACTTGCCAGCTCTGTTGCAAACCAGGCGCCTTTCCCACCTGGCGTGGATGCTGCAGAGAGCTGCCCACCACAGGTCTGGTAGCTGTGTGTCACCTCTGTCACTGTTCCCCAGCAGTCCTTATCTGCTCAGCCACGCATCCTGTTCATTAGGCAGACTTCCTTTGTTTTGCCAGTCACTCTCCCTTATTGGCATATCATTGCCATTGTTATTCTCACACGTGGACAGCGTGCTGTGACGTGCTGAAGTCCCCACACCACGCTGAAGGTTTAATTGCCTTCCTCGGGTCATTTTCAAAGCGTGGGCCCTCAGCTGAGGCTCTCAAATGGTTGGTGGGGCTGTGTTCCTGGAGTCTGACACTGCCACGACTGTCCTTGGGCCAAAAGTACAAGAGAAGTGGGGACAGGCTGCAGCCCATCAGCAATCACTGAGTTGGCAAGAGCTTGGAGCACATGGAGGGAGCTGGGCTTCTGCAGCCCAGAGGAGAGGTGGTCGGTGGGGATCTGACTGCATCTTCCACCACCCTGCTCGTAGTGGGGAGGTGCAACATCGTCATGATATAGAGAGCAAACACAGAACAATGAGTGGCAGATAAGGCATGGAGATATCAGTCTGGTATGAAATCCAATATTGTATGGCTAAGAGAGGTGAAAGAGAGAGAGACGAAGGAAGGAAGGAAGGAAGGCAGGCTCAAAATACTTAATAAAGGTCTCAGATAATTTGCAGATAGGATGTAGTATATGAGCGTGAGTTCACTACGGTCTCAGAGCGAAGCCTTTCCTTTAATTAATTTATTGCTAATATAAAATTTTACTAGTCTGTAGGGAGCAATAAAACATGCTAAAGCCAAGTTAACCCAATCTAAGGTAAACACATGCATCTATTACTATTAAAGGTACCTTATTCTGCATAAAGCAAATAAGTATATCTATGGGCTGTGTGCAAGTGGTCTGTCTCACAGACCTTTGCCCACAGACTGCGATGTGACTCTTGCACCTCTGAAGATTTGTACTCGCTTTAGCTGCCATTGCAGACGAGATGGGCTTATGCTGGCTATAATTATTACCCATGACGTGCTCGGCTGCGGTCTAAGCTGCTGTCTTAAGTAATTTTGGCTGGTTTGTTTCACTTCTCACCCCGTTCTAAGACTTTTACTACATGAACAAAGATTATATCAGAGCTCCTGTCATCCCATCAGCTGCCAGCATCAGACCCCTCTTTATTTTTCCATTTGTGAAGGAGGTGTATGGAAGCTGTGAAACTCTCCACCGCAGGGCCTTGTGGATGCTAAAAACTGACTGGAGTTCAAAAAGGGACCAGACACATTCACAGAAGGAAAAAAAGCCAGTTGCACACAAAGACACAGCCTCCTCTTCAGGAAATCCTTGATCTGCAAATTGAGCTGGCTGGGAAAGTAATCTGAAGGTGAATCACTACAGGCTTGTCCAGCTCTTCTCCTCCTCAGACATCTGCCATGGCTCCCTACCAGATGCAGGGGAAGATGGACCACGTTTGAGCTTAAGGACTCACAAAAATGTTTGCTCAATGGCACAAATATGTTGGAATTTCTCCCTGGAAAACTTGACAGAAGGTGAAATCTTACTGGACAGCTGCAGAGAGAAGAGCAGCATTGCCCAATTCCTCCTGCCAACCCCAGGGTTCCCATGGGGGAATGCTCCTGGGGTTTGTACACGGATTGAAACCGCCTGCAGGGACAGGTAGGCACGGCCATGAGCTGAGACCCACTCATTAAAAAACCCAAAGGTGCCTGTGCAGGTGAGAGGAATCTCTGCGTGACAGTACACAAGGCCATTAAATGTAGCAGACTGAGAGCCTGTGGTTTCTGCGCTCCTCTGAGCAAAAAAAAAATAATAAAAATGAGTGAATCCTCCAAAAGCTGCCAATGCTGGCGCCCCAGCTTCTGTGCAGGGCGCTCAGAGCAAGGGCAGGGACTGGCCCAGATGTGACCGGTGGCATCTGAACTCGGGGGCTCGAGTATCTAGAAAAAGCCTGATAAGAGCCGGGAATTCAAGTGGTCCTGAAATAGTGGTAAGAGCAGCTGGGGAATGCCTCATATGGACACATGGGATGGAGCAGTGGGGCTTGGTATGCAAGGAGGTGACACCTGCCCCACGCACTCAGTGTCACGTTTCGGCCCCGAGAAGGTTTGCAGGGGGCGAGTGACACACAGCATGTCTGCAGCGTGCCGGGGAGGCTGTCCTTCGCCTGCCCTGCACGGAGCTGCAAGAGGAGGGAGGCCGCTCTCCCGTGCAGCCCCCAGACCTTCACGCTGCTTCCTAGAGTGCCAGGCATCCCTCTGAACTCTGCAGCACGTGCTCGGGGCTTGCAGTACTGTCCGGGCTTGCATTCCTGTCAGAGGGTCAGCCAAGAAGCCACCGAGTTTGGCCACGGAGGTAGGGCCCCAGAAAATCTGCAGCGCTCCCCAGCCTCCCGTGGAGATGCCCTATGCCCTGTGGCAGGGCACAGCTCTCCCCGTGCCCATCTCAGCTACCTGAGAAGCTGTGGCCAGCATCGCTGCGAAGTCCCCTGCGTTGCTGAGAGGTGTTATTTGGAGCGGACAGGGCTAATGTCCAACGAGCTCAGTTTTCACTCCAGGCTTCAAACAGCTGCGGTGAGCACACAGCTTTCGGAGCAGGCCTCGGGCAAGCAGCGTGGCTGCTTGGGCTCCCTGGGAGGTCGCTGCTCACCTGCCTCGGGCAGCCAAGTGCCTCTGTGCATCTTTGGGACCTCCTTGGAGCAGAGTTTAGTCTAACACAGACTTCTCCTCCAGGCAGGCCTGCAGGGTGGCAGTGGGAGCCCGGATTTCCCTTCCTGTAAATTCAAGAGTCTCCCTGCTTTGCCTGGTGGCAGGAACACGATGGGTTTGGAGCTCCCCTGGCACACGTTACAGGGCTCAGTGGGGCCTGGACTGGAGCATCCCCTGACCTTACTGCCTGGAGGGGCAGGAAGGTGGCTGTGGGGTCCTGTCACCTGCAGGCAACACGCTGTGAGAGCTGCCAGCTTCGTGACGGATGGCAGGCTCAGACAGCCCCGGCTCCTGAGAGCGTAACCCCAGGGCTATCTCTGAGCAAGCACACAGCCTGGCGGGCTGTCAGCATGGGCTGTTAACGAGGGAAGAAGTTTCACAGTCCTCGAGCTTGGCCCAATTGCTTTTCATCCCCTACAGCCCTTCCTATCTCCCCGAAGGGCCTGGGACAGCTTTAATTGGAGTTAGGGCTGCGATGCCAGGTTAAATATGCAAGTTTTCCCCGAGAATAAGGCAATCTGCATCCCGGCCTACATTAGATATGTGGATCAGCTTCTGCTCCACCCTTAGGAAGAGCTGAGAGTCATGGTGAAAAGACAGGGCAAGCTGCAGAGATCTAAAAACCTTCCCTTGGGTTTTCCAGGCAGAGCTGGAGGCGCCTCTCACCAGCAACCACCCAGACGAGATAAAGCAAGCAGCAGTGAGCACGCAGGCAGCTTTCTGCATGTATTCATTTCCCACTGATCAAAATCCCGGCAGTGAAATGAAAGCAAGAGCACACGCTGAAAATGGAAACCCTGCCCGGAGAAGGCAGACTGGCCTCCAGAGCAGTCTTTGGCATTTGAATACTTGTTATATTGCAAGGAGGCGGTGTCAGACCCGCAGTTACAGGGCTCTATCCATCCTCTGCTCGTCTCCCAGTCTCGCCCCGGTGAGTTTGCCGTGGCAGCACCGCCCCAGATGCTGCTGCAGAGATGACATGCCAGCCGCAGGGCTTGCGGGAAGTTTAAGAGTATTTTAAATAATGCGGGCTGCTTGGTTAGCTGGGCGAGCCTCCCGCTGCCATGCACAGCAAACACACTCCATTTTTTTTTGGCTTCGAGTGCACTTTGCGTGTCGTCAATGCAAAAAATTAAGTGGGTGCAATATGTCATAAAGATAGACTCTCCTACCCCCAAAAACACACCCAAAAAAGAAAAAACAAACTCATTTTTGTTAACATAAGAGGAAAGGAGCATTTAATCTACCAGCCGCAACGATGATACTGATTTATCTTGGTTACTCTGAGCACTGGAAACTCGATACAGCAAGCTCCTCTGGGAGAAGGTGATTGTTTCTATTTCTGCAGGGACTGGAATCCGTGGGATTAAGCAAGATGTTCTGGATGCAGCTCCATCTCCCCGATGCCCGTTTTGGGGCCATGTGGCCGCAGCAGTATTTTGCACGGAGGTAAAAGCCCGGTCAGCACAGAGAAGGGCTCAGTGCAGCTCCATCTGGCAGCGAGCAGAGCCCCCGTGAGTCATGAAACGAAGGCGAAACGTGTGGGACTTCTGCAATCAGGAGGACGTAGGCAGTGTTATTTCAGGGCTATTTCAACCCCGTCCTCTGGGACTTCTCCCCTTTGCCTGAGTGTGGGGATTTCTCTGCCCGGTTCCAGGCTCGAGGCAAATAGACACGCAGTTGGGGAGATTAAATACGACAGATATCAAAGCCTATTGTAAAATGTGGGCCCTGCAACAGCAAACAGCTGTAGCTGCCTGTGCTGATGCCCTTCTTGTTCCAGTTGCCACCTCCTTGATATCTGCTCAGAGGAGCAGCTGCTGCGTTATCTGTAGGCGATCGGTGTTGGAGGCAGGGACCGCACGGTGAGGCCAGCCTGCAAGGCGATGACCCTGTCCTCCTCCACTTCATCCCTTAATCTTGTGGTCAGAAGACCTAGCAGGACGGGGGAAGGTGACAAACACCCCCCCAAGCAAAACACGTGCTTGGGAAAAGGTCTTTCAAAGTGGGCTGAGTCCCTAGGGCTCGCCATTCGGGGTGCGCAGCGAGAAGAGCAGCACCCTGCAAGGCAACAGAAGAGCTGCCGTGGTCAGCCCTAAGCAGGATCTTCTTACCTCTCCCCGTGTGGCCAAGGTTTGAGCTGACATGGCTGGTTAGCTCGGTGTGAGCCACCTCTGGAGAGCTTTTGGAGGAGAATTAGCCTGAAAATACACGGCAACTCGCCAAGCACCCCTCCTGGCTGAGGAGCGAGGGGTGGCCACGCGCAGCCCAGCAGAGCACGCTTATCAGGAGCTTGTGTACACATGAACTCCACGGGAGCAGGGATGCCATTTCACGGGCAGCTGGCTGCAGCTCGCAGCATGCCAAGGAAGGGATTAACTCCTTCCATTTCTGAAACAAACGAGGCCTGAGATGCTCTGCTACGTGAGGAACAACCTAGGTGTTGTGAGAACAGGCGAGGTACAGCTGTGAGCAGGCAAAGAGGAACTGCGTTTTCACCAGGTGAAGCTCTTGAGTGGCCTATTAAAAGGGAGCCAGGGGAATTGGTTTCTTCTTGCAGCACAGAGCTGAGAGGAGGAAGTCCCTTCTGTGGTATAGCGAGGCTTACAGGAGTTCAAAAAGGGAAACCTTGAAGAACAAGCCAGTAAGGGCTATTAAATGGAGACACCTTGTCTGCTTCAACAAATGCTGATCAGCGAAGCCTGGGTGAGGTTTCAGGGAGCACAGCGTGTTTTCCCAGTTCCCTCTCTTCCTTAAGCATCGTTTCTGCTTCTTTGCGTCCTTTTTGCCTTAATTTTGTTGAAAGTTCCTTGAGGGAAAAAAAGAAAGGGAGGTGATGCGCGGAGCACAGGTTGTCCCAGGATTATAATGCTTTATTGTTCGCTAGCCATAAATTAAATCTGCTGCGATAGTCTGAGAGGAGGGCAGATTGGCCTCCTTTATAGCTTTCTTTGTCTCCCTGCAGTCATCATTACTGCCTGGAGCGATGAAAGAGGTGGCCCTGGAAGGGTTGGCAGAGGGAAAGTCTGCTGCTGCTCCCCGTGTGGGTGCCCTCATGGTGTGCTGCACTGGGGGCCCAGGCCTGGCACAATCAAAGTAAGTAAAATTTTAATGCAAGCACCGAGAGCAGACAAGCAGGGCATGCACCAGTTACGCTAGGACAGTAAATGTATGGAATCAAGGAGGATGTCCTACTCCAGGGCACCCAATGCAGCCTTGAATATATAGACATGGGTGAAAACCATTCAAAATCAGAAAGCCAAATTCTCTTCTTAAAAAAAAAAAAAAAAGAGAAATCTGCCCAAAGCTGGGTAGGGAGGAGCTGTTCTTACAAGCAGCTTAAAGCCAATTTTCCACGTAACTATGAATCAGACTTTTCTTCTGAAATTATGTGTATCTGGAGAGGAAATAACACTTATTTTTTCCTGGCGTGCCTTATTAAGCAGCTAAAAGCAGTGATATGATGCTGGTGGGTGTCGGTGATGCTGGGGCAGTGCTGAATTCACTGCTTCGGGAAGAGAAGGAATTTCTCACATTTTTATTTTTATTTTTAGCTTTCTACTTGGTTAAATAATGGCCTCAGCTGAGGGATGGAGAGGTGAGGATCACAGAGATCTTCCAACCTCATGATCCCATGATCTGCACCCAGGGCCCTCAGCTGCTCATGGTAGGCTGTCCATCTACCCACGCTCTTGGCTGTAACGTGGAAGAGGAGCCCTGCTGCACGTAGCTTGCAATATCATGTCCAGGGTAAACCGAAACTGATCTCATGGGCACACCCGGCAGGAGACATCTCAGTGGAGCAAGGTGTCAGAGGTCTGGAAGCAATCCTTCATCGCCCGTGCAGGTGTGTGAATCTCCATATGGACACACCTATATGTGTGTGTAACCAGGTCCAAATGTCCAACAGAGAAACCTTTGTGCCTGAGATGCTGGGGAGATATTTCTGCCCTGTAGGCATGAGCTGGCAATGATTTTTCTCCCCTCTCCTGAGGTGAAAGGACTAAAAAAAATGGAGAGGAAGGGCAAGAACCACAGGTGAGCTGTGGGGAGGCTGCAAGGCATGGCGTGGGCTGTGCTTCACTTCTCCAACCTCCCTGGGTCTCGCAGCTCGCTCACAGAGCCGGGGAGGAGCAGGTTGACAAAACGGGGCCATCCTGCAGCCTTCTGCTGCTCCCCAGTGGTCGCGTGGAGAAGGCTTCACAGGAGACTCCCAGAGGGTGAATAAAGCCCTGGAGATGTTGAAGGGGCTGCAGCATCTCTAAGTAGAGGTACCTGATATCCTTTCTCACCAGCTCCACACCTCACAGATAATTTTCACAGGGCCTGGGAAGAGCAGGACGGCAGAAATATGGGAGAGATGCGCTCCAAGGCTTGGAGTTCTCAGAAAATAAGCAAATATTTTCAGGTCTGTTGGGCACCAACCAGTGCTTTCTGGGTTTATTCTTGCAAAATCACTGAAGAGGTCAAAAAAATACGTCTCAGTTTCTGTATTCAGGCAATTCACCTGCTTGTTAAAAATGGTTTTGCTGCAGTTTGCTTTGGGATCCTTTCTCAAAACAGAGAGAGGCAGTGCCTGCTAAGGGACGAAAGCAGGAAAATGACAACTGAAGGACAAGGTCTCCAGTTGTTTCCTATCCCTCTGGGCACAGCCCTACAGGTGTCAGGGTGGTGGTCAGTGTAGAAGTAGGGTGAAATTGGGAAAGCACAGGAAGTGGAACATGCTGGTCCCTGATAAGAAAACTGCCTAGGGTGAGAGGTGATGGCTGACCCACATAGATGTGGGTAACTTGAAAAAAGGTGATGCAGGCATGGAGAACAGCATGCTGAGAGCTTAAACGATAAAGGGATGGAGTTTCCTTGCTGAGGTGCTAACCTCCATTGAGATTCAGCGCGAAGATCTCCATCTGGGAGTGCTGCGAGGGGCAACGCTGAAGAAAGGCTGCTATACCAGTGTCACCAGGCCACAGCTTAAAATGGAAGAAAGGGCATCTTGTGATTGCAATCAGCTGTGACACAGCCAAGGAAAATAAAAGATAAATTTCGAGTTATGAAAGTTGATAGATGGAAAAGGTGAAAAAACTTACAGCCCTTTCCCACAGGATTTTTAATATGTGACCAAAATGACTACTTCTGTTGTCAGAAACTGACAGGCAATGTATGTGCCACGTGTTAATCTCTTCTGTGGGTCTTCCCAATCACAGCTTGTGCAGATGAGGGAAGGAAACAAAAGAGGGGGATATGGTTTGAAATAATTTTCATTTTGCAAGCTGAAGAAGGGGGCGTTAGCTCCTCTCCCTCACCTCACGCCCATGCTTTGGGGACGCTCCTCACCCAGCTCGCTGCTCCTGAGACCTGCACACCCCTGTTCCCTCGGAGGTGCCAGGGTTGTGCTGTGAGTGCCTGGCACGCTCAGAGCACCGCACCCTGGCACCAAGGGTGTCTCTGCCTGCGTTTTGGGCACCTCCCCTGTGCCGCACGATGCCCAGGCTGCCCCATCACCAAACGGTGATGAGCACCCAGCCGAGATGCCCACCCCAGAGCCTGTCCTGTGCTGGCAGGTGCCTGTTGCCCAGCTTCACGGAGCCGATCCAGGAGCGATCCCTGCGCCCTGCGCTGCGCTCGGGGCGGCGGCGAGCGCTTTCCCAGGCTGCCGCAGGTGCCTTATCCCACCGGGGGGGCTGTCCCCCCCCTCCTCTCTCCTTGTTGTGCTGCAAACCCGTCCTCCCAAGGCCGAAGGGCCAGCGGCAGCCCGTGTTTTGGGTCTGCGCCCCGGCTCTCAAGGTTTTTCCCCGGCCCCCCCCCGCCGCCCGGCCCCTCCATAAAGGCGGCTGCGGTCGCCGCGGGGCCGTCGCGCTGCCCCCGCCGGCCCGGAGCCCCCGGAGCCCCCCACCATGGGCCGCCCCCCGCCGCTCCGCCTCCTCCTCATCCTCGCCGCCCTCCTGCCGCCCCCCGGGGCCCGCCGAGCCCGTGAGATGGGGCTGGAGGGAGGGATAGAGGGAGGGGAGGGGTTTGGGGTTGGTTGGGGTCCCCATCCCGGGACGAGGTGGGGAAGGGGGGGGATGGCGCAGGGCTGAGCGCCCCCCTCGCCTTCCTCCCGCAGCCCCCGGCGGCCCCCCGTGCGCTGCCACCCGGCAGGCAGCCTGCGGGGCTGGCTGCGGCCCCGTGCCCTGGCTGTGCGATGGAGAGAGGCAGTGTCCCAACGGGACGGACGAGATGTGTGGTGAGTGACGGTGGTGTTTTTTGGGGGGGGGCTTGGGGGGCACATCCTGCGCTGGGCAGCCCCTCAGGGCATGGGGATGCGTCCTGGAGCCTCCTCCTCGGATGCTAGGGCAGAGGGGACCATAGTGGTTGTTCCCAGAGCTGTGGGAGATCCCACTGACCGTGTGCTGTCCCCACTGACCGTGTGCTGTCCCCACAGATGCTCCCTGTGGCGGGGACCCCCACGCGTGGCAGTGTGACGACGGCCGCTGCGTTTCCAGCAGCTGGCGGTGCGACGGAGCTGCCGACTGCCCGGATGGCTCCGACGAGCAGGACTGCGGTAGGTGGGCCCCAGAGGGCTGAGAGGGGCCGAGAGGGGATTTTGTGGGGTGCAGGGTGAGGTGTGAGTGTGGCTCCGTCCCCGCAGTGTGTGGGGCGAAGAAGCTGCAGTGTCCCGGCACCCACCACTGCATCCCGCACTGGGAGCTGTGCGACCGGCACCAGGACTGCGAGGACGGCTGGGACGAGGAGGGCTGTCCCCTGCAGCCCTGCCTGCCCGGGCAGTGGCAGTGCAGGAACAGGGTGTGCATCGCGGCCGAGTGGAAGTGCAACGGGGTCGACGACTGCGGCGATTCCTCGGACGAAGACGTCTGTGGTAAGTGGGCACACGAGATGCTCCTTGGTGGGCTGAGACCTGCCCGGGGTGGTACGTGTGAAGTTTTTTTTGGCTGTCCTGGATCCCAGCTCCCCTTGGGATGGTGGGAACCTGCAGACACTTTGTGGGACCTCCCCACAAGTCAGGGACCCACAGCATCTCCCGTGCCCTCCTGACACGAGCTGTGTGTGCCGCAGCCCCCTGCCCGGCCGGCATGGTGAGGTGCGACGAGGGGAAGTGCATCCTGGAGTCCCTGATGTGCAACGATGAGGATGACTGCCTGGACGGCACCGATGAGCCCAGCACGTGCGGTGAGCAGGCGTGGGGCCGGGGGAGCTGCAGAAGCAGCCCTGATTTATTTCACCCCTCCGCTGCCTCCCTGCAGGGCGGAGCTGCTTTGTGCGCAACGGGGGCTGCGCGGAGACGTGTGCTGACACCCACTGGGGCGTGCAGTGCTCCTGCGGGGCCGGCTGGGTGCTGCAGAGCGACGGGCAGAGCTGTGCTGGTAAGGAGGGGTTGGGGTGTGCACACTTTGGCTTTGCCGGAGCCAGCGTTTGTGCAGGAGCACCCACTTCAGCCCTGCTCCTGCCCACGTCTCCTACTTGGCCCCCAGAAGGCTGCGTGCAGGTCGTGTCCCTGCTGTCACCGATGGGTTTGGGGTCTGGGGGCTGTCTCGGTGGTCCCTTGTGGCCAGGGGCTGGTGGTGCTGCCTGAAGGGAGCCGGGCAGCCGTGCCGTGGGCTCCCAGCAGCTGCTGTCGCTGCAGATGTAGACGAGTGCTCCTTGGAGTACAGCCCCTGCAGCCAGCTGTGCCGGAACACGCCGGGATCTTTCAGCTGCTCCTGCCTCCAGGGCTACACGCTGCGCCACGGCACCATCTGCGAGGTGGCAGGTAGGGTGTGCTGGGCTGCCCTGCCCGCCCCAGGCAGCGCCCCGAGTCCTGTCCCATCCCCATCCACCTGCTGACGCCGTCCCGGCAGACAACTCCACGCAGCTCCTGGTGGCCGTCGGGGAGGACCTGGCTCTTCTGGACGTGCGGACCCAGGCGTACCGACCCCTGCTCTCCACTGAGACCGAGCCCCGTGCCCTGGTGTACGACCTGCTCCGGGAAACCTACTACTGGCTGACGGAAGAGGGTGAACTCTGCGCCCACCACCCGGGGAAGGGAGCACGGCTTCTCTACGCAGGTGCAGAGACACAAAGGTGGTGGGGCTGAGAGCTGGCCTGCCACCCCGGCCCTGCTTTCCTGCAGTAAAAAGGGAAAAGCTGGAGTTTGTGGCCAGCAGCTGAGGCTGTGAGCATTAACCACTGTGTCTCTGCAGATGCTGGGGAGGTGAACAGCATCTCCGTGGACTGGTTCACGGGGCAGCTGTACTGGGCCAGCAGCCACCCCGCGGCCATCTGTGCGGGGCTGGGTGATGGCCGGGGCTACGTCAGGGTGCTGGGGAAGGACGTGGCCCCGGAACAGCTGACAGTGTACCCCGCTGCGAGGTAAGGAGCTGGGGAGGCAGTGCTCGGAGCCAGGGCTGTCCTTTTACCGTGTGAGGGGGGTTTGGGCAGCCCTGGGGGCACACCAAGAGCTGGGTGCCTGTCCTCAGGTCCCTGTACTGGGTCAACCGTGGGCAGAGGGGCCGGACGGTCATCGCTGCAGCCGGCATGGACGGCTCGAACCGCCGGGAGCTCACGGTGGTGTCGATGGAAGAGCCTGTGGGGCTGAGCCTGGACTACGTGGCCGGCAGGCTGTACTGGATCAGCGAGTACAAGGAGGTAGGGCCGGGGGGCGGCAGGGCTCAGCCCCACCACGAGCTGGGAGGTGGCGAGGTGGGGCTGGGAAGGGCGGCCCCGCTTCCCCCTGAGGCACGGGGTGCCCGTGCCGGGGCGTGCCACATGGCGGCTGTGCCCCGTCCCCAGTCCATCGAGACGCTGCGGGTGGATGGCAGCGGGCGCCACTCCTTCCCCTCCGTCCTGCGGAGCCACACCGAGCCGCTGGGCCTGGCCGTCTTCGAGAGCCGCTTCTTCTGGGCCGACTGGCACCGAGCTGGTGTCCGCCAGCAGGGCCTCTCCCCGGGAGCACGCCGTGCTGCTGCGGGCCCCCGTCTCGGCTTTCACGGTGCTGCACGTGCTGCAGCAGCCTCCGCGTGAGTACTGCGCCGGGCAGCCCCTGGGTGCGGGGAGAAGCACGAGGGGTGGCAGCTGCCCGAGCTCCTCGTGTCCCCTTTGCTCCCAGGGGATACCGCTGCCTGCTGCTCCGGGTCTGTGCAGCCACCTCTGCCTCCTGTCCCCTGTGCACCCCCGGGGCTATCAGTGTGCCTGTCCAGAGGGCCTCTACCTCCTGCCCTCGGGGAAGTGTGCAGGTGAGCAGGGCTGCAGGCTGCCTCCCTGCCCTTCCTGGTGCTGTGCCCCATGCAGGGAGGGGAATTGAGGAGCTGTCTGCACCCCAGGGGAGGGTGCTGGAGCCACGCTGACACGCTGTCCTTGTGCCCCACAGAGCTGTCCATCGCCTACTCCTCAGGGAAAGCCATCTCCCTGGTGCAGGTGGGCCCCGGGCCACGCAGCCGACGAGTGCAGCAGTGGTGGGAGCCCCTCCAGCTGCAGGACGTGGACTGGCAGAGGTCGGTGCTCTACGGGACGGATGACCGCGGGACGCTGCTGCGCCTCGTGGGGCACGCCGGGAGGAGAGAAACCATCGAGACCAGGCTGCCAGGTGAGACCCCGTGGGGTGCCGGAGCCCCCCAGAGCTCCCGGAGATGCGAGGCTCTTCTGCCAGAGAGCTCAGCAGTCCCTTGGTGCCCACGCTGGGGCTGTGCCGAGGCAGCAGCCAGCTGTGCCCTGGCTGTAGGGACAGGGGGGACCCAGGCGGTGGAGCTGGGCCGTGGGGCAGCCCCATAACTGCTTGCTTGCCTGTTGCCAAGTCTGCTCTGCCCGTGTGGACGTCCGCTCGGGGAGCCTGTACTGGCTGGCGTGTAACCGGAGGGACATCGGGGTGACCCAGGCGCCCAACATGACCTCGCACGTCCTGCACCGCGCTCGCAGCAGCATCCAGCACCTCTTCTTGGACTGGCAGCGGGGGGCTCTGTACTGGCTGGCTCCTGGGCAGCCCCTGCAGCAGCTCAGCCTGGCGGGGGGGGACCCGCAGGATGCCTGGAACGAGACCTGGCCTGGAGAGCTGCCCGTGGCCATGGACAGCAGGGCCTTCACCCTGCTCTGGAGCTCAGCCCTGGGTGAGTCCTGGAGAAATCTGGAGCAGAGGGGGGTTGCTGTAGAGGCAGGAGCGACCAGCCATACAGCAGGTCCCTGCCTGGGCAGTGAGATGCTCGTGGGACAGGCTTTGTCCCACGGGTGGGCTCCTGTCCTCAGCCATGAGGCCCCTGCCATAACTGGGGGCTGTGGGGGCACAGGGTGGGCCACAAGGGGTGCCGGCAAACCCCATGTCCAAAACATCCCCTCTGCCTGCAGGCCTGAGGGCGCTGAGCCTGACCAAACGGCAAGCGGTCACCCTGGCGCCCAGCTGGCCCCATGGCCTCGTGGCTGCCTTCGAGCCCTACCTGGTGTCTGTCAACAAGACGTCTCTGCTGCTCTGGGACCGGCGGACGCTGGCCCTCGTGCTGGCCGTGCCAGCAGAAGGCGTGCAGGGAGCGGTGGCCTTCGTGGAGCTGGAGCTGCCTGCAGGTGAGAGGGGCTGGGGCCAGCAGCGTGGCTGGGCGGCCCACGCTGCGCTGTGCTGGGGGCATCTGGGCTGCTCCTGGACGTGCCTGGAGCGTGGGCAGCCCCAAATCCAGGCTCGTGTTCCAGTGCCAACGAGCAGAGCGCCTGCCCTGCCGCTCCATCCACCCGTGACGACCGCGTCGAGGACGAGCACGAGCCCTGCCTCGAGGACAAGCCCGGCCACCACCTCCACCACACGACCTCCACCACCACGCAAGACGACCACCGCTGCGCCTCCCACCACAGCGCCAACCACCTCCAGCACGTCCACGCCGGCCAAAACCACCCCTGCACCAACCACCACCACCACCACGTCCACCCCAACCACCACCTCTGCGCCCGCCACCACCCAAACAACATCAACCAAGGTCCCCTCTGTGCGGTCACCCACCACGAGGAGCTCCAGCACCACCACGAGGAGCACCACGAGCACCACCACCCTGTCCGTGCCACCCCAGCCCGCTGCCCCACGGCTAACCACGAGCACGCAGCACCCAGCCAGCCCTGCACGCCCCCTCCCCGCCGTCCCCCACCTCTCCTGCCCTCGCACACACGTGCCCTGCCGTGACGGCACCGAGTGCGTGGCGCAGGAGTACGTGTGTGACGGGGAGAGGGACTGTGCGGATGGCTCTGACGAGGATGGCTGTGCCCAGCTCTGCGACACCCCAGGTAGGAGCCTTTTTCCCTGAGCAGATGGGTGGCTGTGTGCCAAGAGTGTTGGTGGGGCATTTTAAGTCACTGGGGGTGCTGGCACCCTGCCCGGCACATCTCCTCATCTCCCCAGGGGCCTTCCACTGCGTGAGCGGCGCCACGTGTGTCGGGGCGGGCGAGCGGTGCGATGGGGTGCCGCAGTGCCCCGACGCCTCGGACGAGGCGGGCTGCTGGAGCCCCACGCCGGACTGCGCCCTGCGCTGCGACGCCGCCACCCGCTGCGTCCCCGAGAGCTGGCTGTGCGACGGCCACGCCGACTGCCTGGACCGTGCCGACGAGCAGCGCTGCGGTGAGCTCCCCGGCGGGTGCCACGGGGTGGTTTGGGGTTGAGCTTTGGGCTCCCTCTTTCTCATCCATCCCCCTCTCCCCCTGGCAGCGCCCAAGGAGTGCAGCCCAGCCGAGTTCCCGTGCCGCAGCGGGCAGTGCGTGGCCCTGTCCCTGCGCTGTGATGGGGACCGGGACTGCCGGGATGGCTCGGATGAGGAGGGCTGTGCGGTGCCGCGGCCCCTGCTGTGCCGCGCGGGTGAGGTGGCGTGTCCCCGCAGCAGGCAGTGCGTGCCCCAGGCCTGGCGCTGCGACGGGGACACCGACTGCGAGGACGGCACGGATGAGGAGGTGGGAGTGAGCTGGGGACCCCCTGCCCCAATTCCTGGGGGGCTGGTGGCACCGCTCACCCCCTCCCTTGCTCCTGCAGGACTGTCCCCAGGAGGAAGGGCCGTGCCGTGACCAGCAGTGGGGCTGCTCCCGGGACCACGAGTGCGTCCCCAGCGCCTGGCGGTGCGACGGAGAGGCGGACTGCAGGGATGGCAGCGACGAGGCCAGCTGTGAGCAACGCGCTGCGCGTCCCCTCCGTGTCCCCCCGCGGGCAGCTGGCAGCTCTGCAGCACGGAGGGGGCCCTGCTCTGCGCTGAGGGGAAGGGTCCTGTGTGCAGAGCTCCCTCCCAGCACCGCTGGTGGCTCCAGGCCCTCTCTGGGTGTTGTCCCCATGAGACTGGTGGCCTCGGTGTTAGGATATCCTGGGGGCAGGCTGCTGGCACAGCTCTGGGCATTGCTGCCATGCGTCCTGGGCACCCTGCGGGCACAGCCTCAGCTTGCCCTGGGCATGTGGAAGTAGTGGACGAGGCTCAGGGCAGCTTCCCCCTGTGTGTCCCTGCAGGCCAGCCCGCTCCGTGTCCGAGCCACGAGTACCCCTGCGGGCTGGGGGTCTGCCTCAACGTCTCCCTGGTGTGCAGCGGGCAGCAGGACTGCGTGAACGGCTCAGACGAGGGGGGGAACTGCTCCCTGCCCTGCCAGCTACGCTGCTCACAACTCTGCCACCCTTCACCCCAGGGCCCCGTGAGTGCCAGCAGCCCTCACCTGGGGGGTTTGCACTGCTCTGCTGCCCTGTCCCGGCTGCGGGAGGAGCCCCACACTCACCTCTTTCCCCACAGCGATGCTACTGTGCCCCTGGCTATCGGCTGGCTGAGGACGGCCTGACCTGCGTGGACATAGATGAGTGCACGGAGTGGGGTGAGCGAGCCTGCAGCCAGACCTGCCTCAACGCCCCGGGGTCCTACAGCTGCAGCTGCCTCCCTGGCTACCTGCTGGAGCCCGACGGCCGCGTCTGCAAGCTGGGTGGTAAGCCCAGGGGTCTGCAAGCATCGGGGGGGCGTGCTGTGTCCCAGAAGGCTCTGTCACCTGGGATGGCCGTGTTTCCTGGGGCTGTGGGGCCACCAGGTGCTGAGGGGGTTCTGTGTCACCCCCAGGACCAGAGCCCGTGCTGCTGGTGGCCGTGCAATCAGAGGTGCTGTCCTACGGCCTGCGGAGCGGGCGCGAGGAGGTGCTGCTGGCCACCGACAAGGAGCGCATCGTCTTCTCGCTCGACTATGACCCAGTGGAGAGGAAAGTTTTCTGGATGGATCTGGCCACGGAGAGCATCAGCTGGCAGGGCCTCGACTCGGGCAAGAAGGGCACGTTGGTGAAAGGTAGGCTGTGATGACACGGGGTTGGTGTGGCTGCCCTGTGTCTGTGCAATCCCCAGGATGCAGCTGCACCAGGCTGCATCCCCTCGCACGCAGAGGTGCTGGGGGGAGCCTGAGCTCCTGGCGTGCTGGAGACCCAGCCTGGGAGCATTTTTGCCCCAGCATTTTGCCCTCTGGGTGCTGACTCCTGGGCACGTCGCAGGGGTGAGGTCAGACTGCATCGCTGTGGACTGGCTCGGGAGGAACCTGTACTGGACGGACGGGGCAGCGGGGCAGGTGCTAGCCACCCGGCTGGGGGCTGCCTGGCGAGGGAAACCAGAGTACACCGTGGTGCTGGATGGAGACATGGACCAGCCCCACTCCCTGGTGCTCCAGCCTCTAGCAGGGTAAGGTTGGGGTAGGAGGACTCGGAGACCTTCTTGCCAGCCCTGTCCTGGCCCGTTTTCCCCCTGCAGAAGCAGGCAGTGGGATGGGGGAGAGTTGGGATGGCCTCACCTGGGTGCTGTTGGGGCTGTGTGACTGGGGAAGAGGAACCCCAGGCACCTGCCCCTGCCTTGGGCAGAGCTCTTAGCACATCCCTGATGGAAAGGGAAACCCTGTGCTGTCCTCCTCCCACCAGGGTGCTGTACTGGTCCGAGGTGGGGAGCCTCCCCCGCCTGATGGAGGCCACCATGGACGGGAGCCGGCGGCACGTGCTGCTGGCCCAGGGGCTGGGCTGGCCCACGGCGCTGGCCCTTGACCTCCCCGCCTCGAGGATCTTCTGGCTGGATGAGAAACTGAGCAGCCTGGGTTCCGCACGCCTGGACGGCACGGACGTGAGGGTGCGTGGTGGGTGCTACAGGGCTGGGCCGGGTGCCAGGGGCTGTTCTAAAAACCCCTCTCTCCTCCAGGTGCTGCAGCTGGGCTGGGTCCGGAGCCCCTTTGCCGCAGCAGTGTGCGAGGGGCAGCTCTACTGGTCGGAGAGGAAGACGTGGTCAGTGCTGCGGGTGGACAAGGCTGCTGGCAAGAACAGGACCGTGCTGCTCAAGCGGACACGGGCAGCCCCACGGCCTCCAGGTACCTGCCCCAGGGACCCCAAACCCTGCTGCACCCGCTCTGCTCGGGCACAGGGCGTGGAGGCACTGAGAGCTGCGGTCCTTGGGGTGCTGATCCCTGTGCTCAGGAGCTGCCAGCTCTCTGGTAGAGCTGCGAGGCCCCGCTCAGGCTGTGGGGCTGAGCCTGCCTTGCCCTACAGGTGATACACCCAGCCCTGCGCCCGGCGGTCCCCAACCCGTGCGCGGCACGTGGCTGCTCCCACCTGTGCCTGCTGAGTGCCCGGCACTCTGGGCAGTGCCGCTGCCCTGCCGGGCTGACCCTGGCTGCCGATGAGACCACCTGCCTGCCCCTCCACGACTCAGCCTTCGCCCTCCTCGCATCACCAGCAGCCGTGATGCAGGTACCTGCAGGGCCAGGCCGGGGGGCTGCTCCCCTCGCTGCTTTTTTTGGGAGCGGGGTCCCCGTCCCAGCGCTGTCTCCTTCCCCTAGGTCTACCTGAAGGATCTGCCCACAACAGCCACATCCCAAGGCCTCCCTCCACACCGGGCCCTGCCGCTGGCCAAGGTGGGGCGCCTGACTGCTGTCGACTACATGGTGAAGGACAAGAGCCTGTATTTCGCCGAGGCGGGGGGCGACTCCATCGGGCTGCTGCGCCTGAAGGACTCGGGCCGGCTCTCCTGGCAGCGGGCGGTGGCCGTGGAGGGCTCGGTGTCCTCCCTGGCCCTGGACTGGCTGAGTGGAAACCTCTACTGGCTCGGGGGGCAGCCGGCCAGCCTCCAGGTGGCTGCGCCCGGCGGGCGCTGGGCCCTGCAGCTGCTCAGCGAGGGGCTGCAGGGGGCTGCCTGGCTGGCCCTGTGCCCTCGCGCCTCCACCATGTGCTTCGTCACCGCGGCGGGGAGGCGAGGGCCGGGAAACGTGGTGGAGTGCGCGGCCATGGACGGCAGCGGCCGCAGGGTGCTCTGGAGGAGAGCCCGGTCCCCTGCCGGCCTCGCCTTCGGGGGTGCCGGCACCAGGCTGTACTGGGCAGACCGGGGTGAGTCTGGGGTCCGCCTAGGGTGCATGTGGGAGCTGGGGGGGACTCGGTGCAGCCCCAAGGGGCAGCCCTAAGCCATGGTGTCCCCCCTGTCTGTGCCCGCAGAGAGGGGTGCGATCGGCAGCATCGAGCTGGACGGCTCCCACTTCCGAGTGGTGCGGGAGGGGCTGCACGGCCTCTCGCTCTTTGCCATCGGAGACGGCTTTCTGCTCTGGACCACAGCCTCAACGAATGGTGAGTCCGTCTGGGGTGCACTTCAGCTCCTCCTGCTGCCCCAGGGCTTGGGGTCTCTGCCAGTCCCTGTGGGATACCAGGTGAAGGGCAGGCTGGAGGAGCCCCACACCTCTGTGGGAGGAGGTGGAGGGGTGCTGAAGCTGCTGTGTGTCCCCAGGCTCCAGCAAGGTCTGGCACAGCCGACTGGAGCAGGCCAAGAGCTGGTGGTTCCCCATGGAGCAGGAGCTGGTAGCCTTGAGGATTTACAGCCAGATCTCACAAGAAGGTGGGTCTGGGGCTGCCCCAGCCCCTGGTGCGTGGGGCACCGAGTGAGGCCCTTCTAATCCTGCTGTCCTGGCAGGCACCCACGGCTGTGCGAAGAGCAACGGGGGCTGCAGCCAGCTCTGCCTGCCCACCCCCGCGGGGCGGCAGTGCCGCTGCGCCCTCGGGTACCGCCTGGTGCGTGGGGTGAGCTGCGTGCTGGCCCCGCCGTGCCCGGCCCCGCTGCGGGCTTGTGCTGACCTCCAGGGCTGCATCTCCGGAGAGCAGCTCTGCGACGGGCACCCCGACTGTGCTGACGGCTCCGATGAATCGGGCTGTAAGTGCTCACCTCCTGCTGGGGCACTTCGGTGTCTCCTTTGGCTGGGAAGGGGGCTCTCACCCGGGTCTGTGCTCGCTCCTCCAGGCCCCTCTGTGGAGCCGAAGACACAGGTTCCCGTGGTGGTGGCACCCTCAGGCATCTCCCACATGAAAGAGGAGAAACCAGCCGTGCCCTCAGCCCCCCCTGCGCCTCGGCAGCCCGTCCCCAGCCTGCCCGCAGCCCCTGGGGAGCACCAAGAGCCCTTCCTGGTAACCCCCAACACCGAGGAGGTGCTGGGGGCCGTGCCCTGCAGCAGCGAGACGTGCAACCTGCGCGGGGACTGCGCCATCGAGGCCGGGCGGGTGACCTGCCACTGCGCCCTGGGCTACCGCGGGGACTACTGCGAGGAGGCCGAGGTGCAGCCGGTGGCAGGACCCATCGCCCTGGGGGTGGCCGTGCTCCTGCTGCTGGCCGCCGCTGCCGTGGGGGCCCTGGCCTACATGCGGAGGCAGGACAGGAGGAGGAGGTGAGCTGTGGGGTTGGAGAGGGGCCTGGGGGAAGAGCGGGGTCTGGTGCGCCCCTCTGCCACGTGGAAAGCTGCAGTGAACCCATCAGGACAACGACAAATGTTGGGATCCTGCTCCACCTTGAAGACAGGGCTCTGTCGCTCTGAGATGCTTTATTTGCTCTCCGCAGGACCTCGAGCACCGCTTCCACCCGCGTGCTCACCCTGTACCACCGCGAAAGCGACCCCGAGGAAGAGGACGAGGAGGAGGAAGAGCTTCCCCCCAAAAGCGATACCTTTGTGAACGAAGCTTATGACGGGAAAGAGGTGAGCAGCGTGCGGGGTGGGCCCTGCTCTGAACCCTCCTGACAGCCTGGCTTGCCCTGGGGCTCCTCCAGATACACCTCAGGCCCAGTGCACGCCTGCTGAGGCGAGAGAGGAGCAGGATGTGGGGATGCCAGGAGGCTGAGCTGATGGAGGGGCTGTCCCGCTCCTCCTGTGGCCAGAAGCCCCGTGCCGAGGTGTGGGTGGGCCCAGGGAGGCTGGTGTAGATCCATCCTCGATGCATGAATCTGTTGTCTCTGCAGGAGCTGCCAGCCGCACTTGGGAAGGGACCGCCTCGCCCCGCTCCTGTATTTCCATAAAGGAACATGGTGCAGCAGCTCTGGTGCCGTGGTGCTTTGTGTTTGGGGGAGCAGAGCGTGCTCAGGGCTCCGTTGGGGTGGAAAACTGGCCAAAAGAGCTCTGCGAGCAGGCTGGCTGGGCTCAGCCCCCTTACGCAGGCTGGTGGGTGGGATTTTATGGTGCAGTCCTGGCCCCTTGGGTGTCCCTTACAAACCAGTGCAGCCAGTTCTGCTGCCTTGCACCAGCCTCACGGTGGGAAGCAAAATCCAGGCAATTTTTCCCCAAAGTGGCTGTGCTTTGGAGGAAGGAGAAACCTCCTCCTGAGCCCGTTTTAACCACGGGAGAGGAGTCCTTGAGGAAGGTGGCTGTAAAAGCCACCTGTCCTCCCGCAGACCTTCCCTCCCCGCTTCAGGTGAAGCTCAGGGGAGCAGGGTTGGCCGTGCCCCTGGCTCTCAGCCCAGCCTGCCTGGCAGAAAGCCCGTAACTACCCCACGGCACGGACCTGTTCCTCTTCATTTATTTTCATGTTTACACAGCCCTGAGCTGAGCGGAGGTGTGGGAGGCGCTCCCCTCCCCTCTCCCCCACCCTGCAGGCTGTGCAGTTGTAAGCAGCCTCCTGCTCGTGGGAGAACACCCTGAAACGCCGCACGGTGCAGGGCCTGGAGCACACAAAGCCCAGCTTTGGCACAGTCACGGAGCCTGGAGCGGGGCAGGCTTTTGAGGAGGCTGCAGAGATTCAGGCTGGGTCCTTGTTGAGGTGCCCCGGAGCCAGCACCCTTCCCAGCACCAGGCAGGGCAGTGCCCGCTGCTCTCCCCATGCTGGGGCTACAGGTCGGAGTCACAAGGCAGGGTGCTCTTCCAGGGCCGCCCGTCTCGCTCGTCCTCCAGCACGTCCCAGGGGTTGCTGTAGGTGGTGGAGGGTGGCCCGGGCTCCCGCGCGGGGCCGGGGGGATATTTGGGGGCCCTGCGCTTCTTGCAGCAGCGGTGGAAGCTGAGGGTGAGGGCCAGCCCCCCCAGGATCTCCAGGCAGCTCCCCAGGTAGCTCAGCACCAAGCTGTAACCCGCAGCCAGCGTGCTGCCGGTCACCGCGGGCAGTGCCCACAGCTCGTGGGTGTACCAGGACACGGGGAGGAGGCTCATCAGCCCCGAGAGGAGCAGCACCAGCCCCGCTGCCCCAGCCACCGGGTGCCGGGGCTCCTCCTGCCAGCAGCGCACCCCCAGGGTGGCCACCACCAAGCCCAGCAGGGTGAGCACCAGCGAGGTGGGCATCAGCCCTCGGGCCACCTGCACGGGCACCTCCTTGAAGTAGCCCAGCTCGTCGGCCTGCCCGCAGAGGCGCTGGTGGCTGCTCTGCCTCTCGCTGCACAGCTCCCAGATGCCCTGCTCGAAGACCAGGTCGGAGGGCTGCTCGGGGACGAGGCTCACCTGCCTCCAGCTGGGCGTCATCGTGCCTACCAGCGTCAGCAGGAGCCCGCAGGGGCACAGCACCATGCCCACGATCATCGCCTTCGGCGTCCTCATGCTCGGAGAGGTGGGGGGGTGCTGCCCAAATTCAGCTCCCGCTCGCCGGAGGGAGGGAAATCAGCGCCGACTCCGTGCCCGTGGGGTTTATCCCGCGACGGGGCCGTGCTGCGGGAGGTGCTGGCAGCAGGAGGAAGTGCAGGCAGGGAGGAGCCGGGGGCAGGCAGCAGAGCTGGGCAGCACCCAGGCAGCACAGGGGGGGCAGCACCCTCCGGCAGCACCCTGCGGGGTCACGGCACTGCAGGAGCCACCAAGGCATCGCTCCCCGCTCTGCCCTCGCAGGTAGAGCGGCTGGGAGGCCAGGGGCAGGAGCCGGTTGATGAAAATCATTCATTAAAATGCAATTGCAACTCCAGTTGTAATCGGTAAGGACGCTGTGTGGTCCTCTGCTGGCCCAAGAGACCTCCCCAGCCCCTTCGTCTCCTCGCTTGCCCTCCCAGCGAGCATCTCCCTGCACATCAGGGACCGCTCCTGAGCTTGGTCCTGCTCAGAGGCACACCCGCAGGTGGTGCTGGCAGCCCAGCTCCCAGCAGGAAAAGTTCCTGGGATGTCCCTTTGGGGCAACTGTGGGTAAGTCAGCACTTTTCAAGGTTCCCTACGTGGGCTTTTGCACCCCAAAAAATCACTGCTTTTGTGCGTCTCCCGGTTTCGCTGAATTTCTGCCGGTCACGCTGGGTCCAAAAGAGGGCAGCATCCTCTCTGGATTAATTTGGGATGATCGATCCTAGCTGAGCGGGAGGGCTGGCTGCACGCCTTCCCCACAGCATCCTTGCACAGGTTTAACAGCCTGGGCCCCCCTGTTTTGTTCGTAATGCCCAGCAGCGCTTTGGGCTGGCGCCCAGGCTCCCGATCGCCGGGTAACAATGAGATTAGGTGATGTGGCCCCGATGCTCGATGACCTGCCCTGAGTAAACCCAGGGAAGGAAATGGGATTAACAGAGCTGTTTCCCACTCTTCCTACGGCGTTACAGATTGTTCATTTCTTCCCCTTTTGGTTTTTAATGAAGCGGTGTGAAAGGCCATTCAAAGCCGAGGCTGGCCCTTCCGAGCTCTGGGGAAGCATTCAAAGCCATCTGGTCTCGGAGATAAAATGGGCTGGCTGAAGTGGCCTTCCTTCCCACGTTTCCCCAGCTGCTGGGTGGGGAGAGCTACCTTACTTGGTGTTTTCTACTCCTCCAAGGACGTGGTTTTCCCTACCTTGGCAAAGCCATCGCGATGGAAACTTTACCCAGGCCTGGTTGAGTAGGCTTGCGACTTTTTTTTTTTTCACCCCCACTTTGTAAATCGAAGTAGCAGCAGGAGGCCTTGAGCTAACAGGAAGGGGAAGAGATCTGGGGTAGGACGGTCAGAGCTTGTGCCCAGTTCCAAGGAGGAAAATAAAATAATAATAACTTAAAAAAAATAAATAAATGGACAGGCTACTGAGTGCCAAGTTGCTGCTTCCAGCCACACGAACCCTGCGTCGTTGAAGGCTGCGGATGCATTTGAGGCAAGAGGGCTGTGACCATCAAGAGCAAGAGCCTGTGACCAGCCTCCCAGGCCTAGCTGAGCTTTTAAGAAGCGATCCTGGAGGGGAGGAGAGCCCTCCCTGCACAAAGGCAGCCCTGTGCTGGCTGAATTCGTGGCACGGAGAACAGCGGGGCACGCGCTCGCGAGGGGGCTGCTCCCACCCCCTTCCTGCCGCGCTGCAGGGCTTGCCTTCAGGAGCAGCAGGATCTCTCAGCATCCTGTTTGCCGTGCTGGGAACAGCCAGGGCCGGGGCTGTTTAGGGGGAGCCTGCAGCTGGCAATTCCTGTTTGTGTCCTGCCGAGCGTGGGGCTCCACGTCTGCCCTACGCCGCGGGGCTGCAAGGCCGGAGGAGGCACCAGGCCCGGCTGGAGGACCTGGTCCAGACAGCTCCATTTGCCTGCTTTTTCCTCTAGAATTCAGTGTGAGATTAGGATTCCCCATCATCTCAGCCATAACTTCGAGCCATGGCCCCAGCAGCACGTGAGAGCAGCCAGGCCGTGCTCTGCGCTGTGCAAAGAGCTGCAGCTGCAGTGGGTCCAGCTCCTGGCCTCCTCCCTGGGCATGGTGTCCTTTGACGTGCAGCCCCGTGCCCCAGCTCTCCAGCCCTCGGGCTGTGTCTTCTGGGAGCAGATTTATCAGCTTCTCATCTGCCTGCCACCCTCCAGGCTGGATGTGGCAGTCATCAGGCTGAGCTTTAGGGGGGTATCAGAGACCTGAAGCTGTGCTGGGCATGCACAGGGCTTGCAAGTCCTGTGCTGGTAGATCCCCCTCTAGGGCTGTGACCTAGCAGTGGTTTTACTACACTCAGACCACGGCCTGTAGGAGTCCTGGCTGTTCCCCCAGACCCCAAACCCAGCGTGAGGGAGCTGCATGCAACCACGCAGCCTGGGGACGGCATCCTGCGGTGCCTGCAGAGAGCAGCAGGTCTCAGTTCCACTCCTGGGAACGAGTTGTTGAAAGTTTTATTAGATGCCCCCCAGCTATGCACTCATCTGTTCGCTCCCTTTCCAAGCTGCTGTATTTAGACTTGTAGATTTCCCAGAGTATCTTCTGAGAATCTTTGCTTTCGGTTCAGAAAGGGATGTAAAAAGCATTTTTGAAGCTGTTTCTATCTGACTCAATCCTAAAGCGGCTGAGAGGGATTTGGTCGCGAAGCCCTTGCTTTTCTGGGTTTCCAGGATGTGACCCTTTTCAGACGGAGAGAAGAGAGCTGTGTGAGCTGTGGCTGGCTGTGGAAACTGCATGTTTGTCCAGCTCCTGGGCTACAGATCTCAGAGCAAAAGGCAGTGCCAGTGCCCGTGGGCACTGAACGTGTTGCAACCAGCAAGGTGAAAGCAGTACTTTGTAACGAGGTTCATCTACCTACTGTAAATGTGACTCACCTGCACGTACTTTGCTCTTTCCTTGGGCTAAAAGGCCAGAATCCAGTGCACAGCCAGTTTATGACTGTGCCTTTGCATATTTCCAAGGAGTCTGGGCAGCTCCGTGCTGGTCAGACCTCTGGGTGTTTGACCCAAAAGACCTGCTTAAACCTTTCCTCTTAAAAAAAGCCCTGGGAAGGAGACAGCTTCATCCAACACCTGTGCTAGTGCCTGAGGAACAGCAGGACCTCTGGTCTTTGGGATTATTATTTTTTTCTGACATTGCACAGGAAAAGGACAGGGCCTTTGTCATGACTGTAGGAAATCCCCCCGCTGTATTTGCAAACTACGCGGACGTTTTGACCTGGAAGGATAGTTTTGTCTTGCCGCCACGTTACTTGCTGGCCAGCACACTGTAGGATTTTGCTCCGCAGGAGGATCCTGGCCACTGCTCAGGAAAGCATGGGACTCTTCCAGGTTGGTCAGGGAGATTCTGCAAATGGAAGAGAAACAGTTTTCTGTCTGTGTGTCAGATCCACGTGGCACAGCACACCTTCGGTGTGTGTGATACCATCAACACAAGCTTTCAAGGAAACCAGCACTCCAGTGGAGACAAAACGAATTGATTTTGGCACAGAAACGCCAG